GTTTTGCATGTTTTTCTCTTTATTCCAAAGTGATCTTGAATTTCTCCTTTGATGTGAGGTCAGCTGTTCATGGCTGTGCTCATGTTGCTCTTGGCTCCTGTTCCAGAAACAGAGCCACTGACTGTGGAGATTAAGACTCTTTTTTTTCTTTTTTTTTTTTTTTAAGATTAACTTTTTGGCCTTTTTTGGATTCAACTAAGAGATAGGACAGTTGATAGATTCAGAAATCAGGGAGAGAGAGTAGGAAATGACATACGCTAACGAAACCACAAGTGAGATTGGGACTCTTCAGCACTCTTGAGCACGTCAGTCGAGTTTCTAAACCCAGTTTCCTTATTCGTCTAACTCTACCTCTAAAATCATTTCACGGTTTTCTTATTTGTTTTTCATCTTTAAGGCAGTGAAAAGTTAATGATAATGACATAACTTTAATCTCCTCTGTTTGGATGTCGTGTTTACAGTGAAACCTTTTCCTTCGTCCTGACCGGAGAGGACGGCAGCCGCTGGTTCTGTTACTGCCGTAAGATCTTGGTGAGTGAGGATGTGTTGAGTCACTGACTCGATGACTTGTGTCTGCGTTTCTGTGTGTGTGTGTGTGTGTGTGTGTGTGTGTGTGTGTGTGTGTGTTCTGATGTGGGATCCCGCCATGTGCTTACACAACATCTCAGAGGAGATGTGAATCAGTACATGTGAATCACAGACCATAAACCACTTCTGAATCAATGACAGAGTGCAAGAAGAATGTTTCCCCTTTCTTTGCCTCACAGGGAGAGCTGCTCGTAGATTTTTTTAAAGACATTTTTAAACTCAATTTGTTGGTTGAAAAGTTTGACTGAATGTGCTTTTTTAAAAATATTTTCATTTAAATACTGAACATGCTTTGTTTGTCCTGTTAAGTACTCTACAACCCTGTGTTGTAAGGTCAAACTCTACATATAGTGTTCTGTTGGTATGCATGCTTACTGCTGCTCTCATGAACATACTGTAGACTTTGGACTCTTTGGTTCTATTTAAATAATCTATAACCCTGGGTAGAAGTGTGCATTTAGGATGTGTCCAATCCTCATTTTTTCTGGTTAAACGGTGTATAATCTAGGTCCACAGTAAGACACTAAGGAGTCGTTTTTAGTCTCTTCATTATGCATCGGTGTGTTTTGGGCGTTCCTGTGTTACACAGTGAAAGTGTGTTGTAGACCTGCCCATATAGGCTCATCTTACTACCTGAATAATACATCTTTTAAAGAAAGAAAATGACCATGCCATTTCATCCTCAAGATAACATTTCATCTGACCACACCTTTTTAGACCAAAACACTTACTTTGAGTTCTCTACGACCCTGTCAGTCTGAAAGTATCAATGATAGGAGACCTTTGCATGGGTTGCCCATGTTAAATTCATCTTATCGTCAGTTATTAGGGGAAAAAAGTATGCATTAAAAGGGAAAAAGCATGCATTAAAAATGCATTAAAAGGCTAACATGTTGGTGTTTTACTGTTTTTTTGGTGTCAAAGATTTATCTGCTGTTTTCTCTTTGATGACGTTTGAATCTTTGTGTTTCTTAAAGCCCAGTGGAAAAGGCAAGAGGCTCCCTGAGGTGCACTGCATTGTCAGCAAACTGGGCTGTTTCAACCTGTTTGCCAAGGTAAGGCAACTGTACAATACGCCTGCACCCCTGTGTCTGCTGATAGAGGCCTGAAAAGAGCAGGAGTCGTTAGAGTGCAGTGCTAATCCTCTTGAAGTGTATCAGAGCTGCTGCCTTGAAACTCCTCGGTTGTGTTTTGATTGAATGAGGCTGCAGAAGAAGATAATCCCGAGCAATCCCCGGGTGTGTTTTACACACACAGAAAAAAAGAATTGTATGCAAGCAGACGTGTCCCACCTATTTTTCAGTTGGCTCAGGGAAGTTTACAAACAGTTAAGCGTGAAGCCTGAAAAACTACATTCGCATGCAGAGCTGCATCCTGCCTCTGTTGTTTTGTTTAGAGTTTAATCAACATTTGCTCCTTCAGGACACAAACTGTGTTTGTCTGCTTCTCTCTGTCCAGATTTTAGAGGAGGTGGAGCGACGCAGGGAGATTTCCCCGGCGCTGGTTTATCCTTTTATGCGTAGCGTGATGGAGGCCCCGTTTCCAGCCCCTGGACGCACAGTCACAGTGAAGAGCTTCCTCCCCGGCTCCGGGAATGAGGTAACCCTGAAACCAAAAGAGGAAATGTTAATTAGTATTTTTGGTTCTCCTAACCACCCCTTTCTGCAGAGTCGGAGTGACTCAGAATGTGAGGTTATCTGTAAACAATAAGGAAAGCTTTTCCAGTTTGGAAGGGCTCATTTTGGGAAGTTATATATACTGTAGCTGCCCACAATAATCACTTCAGTCGTTACTGTTTAGTGACTCAGATAAGTGAAGAAATTACCCCTCCCATAACAGGAAATGTTACAAAATCATCACCGATATGTGTGTCAGCAGTTAAGTTGCTCTAAAGACACAACTAGTAAACTGTTAAGCTACATTACACAGAAGTATTGAAAGTATCTACAGTCTGTTGTCACACATTCAAGAAACATACAAGGTGGAACTACATGACACTCCATGTACACAGCAGCCTGACTCCATGTGCTCCCATTGTGTCGTCAGGTTTTGACTCTGTGTCGCCCGGTGGACTCCAGGCTGGAGCACGTGGACTTTGACAGTCTGCTGCAGTGTCTCAGTGTCGGGAAACTCCTGCAGGTGTTTGCCTCCATCCTGCTGGAGAGGAGGGTCATCTTCATCGCTGACAAACTCAGGTACTGCTGTGCTAACACAAATCACTGCATGGACACTCAACCATCAATATAATATATATACAAATACAAGAATAATGATGATTTAAGAATGAGGCACACAATGTCAGGATGGTTACTCCTACACTCCTCCTCGCTGTGTTTCAGCCGTTGATGATGCTTGATTACGCAAAGGCCGAGAGCCAGTCTTATTGTCTTTGTACCTTTCTCCCATTGTAAACCTATGGCGGTTTTAGAAAGGCAAGTCGAGGCAGGTTTATTTGTACAGCTTTAAATGACTTACAGTGTCTCAGTGGGCTGTACAGAGCCCCAAGAATAACACGATCTAACAGAGCCCAAGCTCCTTGTGTTACCACAAAGAAATTAAGGACCATAAATTATAGATGATCTTCATCGTTAAAGAAGGAATGAGAGGGATGTGTTGGTTAAACAGAGGAAGCTGCTTTAGTGAGGAAACAAGCAGTGAATAGACAATCAAAACATTCTCTCTTCTGTGTCATGGCTGTTTCGTTCTAAAGCATAAATAAACACCTCGGCACAATCTTGCCGCTGCTGGATTTTGTATGAATCCAACTAAAGCCACAATTCTTTCAACCTGCTGAGAGTTCCCAGAGACCGAGACAGAAATGTAACCTGGTGGCTCACATGCAGCCTGCTGATACATGTCCAATACCTCAGGAGTTTAACACACAACTGTCCTTAAACACAGCAAAAAATAAAGAAACATACAGTCAGAGTCTACTACACTGTTCATTATGAGCTATGACCTGATTGTGAGGCAGGTAATGGAGGCCTCCAGATTATCATGTAAATATTGAATTCTACAATCAGCAACGGATGTAAAGGTTGATTTGTAGTCCATGAGACAGTTTTTGTGCTACAAAGTGTAAAACTGATCAAAAAGATTAGACATATATAGACATATAGACAATATATAACAGATTATTAAGTAACAGATGTTCGGGGATTTTTCAGGTATTGTAGTTTAGAAATCTGATAAAATAGAAAGAGCCAGAGTTGTGTTATTATTAAAAAGCACAACGCCTGACTCTCTTTTTAAGTCTAGAGGATGATGAGGAGTGGATATAGATCGGTGTGCTTTAAGTGTGCTGAGCCCGGCAGAATGTTTAGAGAAATCAGACTCGAGAACTGTTCATTTTAAAGGGAAGTTGTTGAGTTTCCTTTTTTTTTAAGCATGTAGCAACTAGCACCAACCGGACATGAAGTGTCAGCAGAGATTGAAACGACAATAACTGCAGCGTGTATTAGGGCAGATCAGTTGTGTCTTTGTAGCACTGGTTCACACGCCTGTATACATAATCTATTTGCTAGTTGCTATGGAAATTCGGTGTAAAAGTTGAATAATATCATGACCCTGCTATTGTCAGACAGCTATAATCAAGTCATATGATCTCTGTGAGAACTGTGTTGTGTTTTTGTGTTGATTATTTTCTCTCCTTCCTTGACTGCAGCGTGTTGTCTCGGTGTGGCCATGCAGTGCTGGCGCTGCTCTACCCCTTCACCTGGCAGCACACCTTTGTACCTGTGCTCCCAGCCAGCATGCTGGACATCAGCTGCTCCCCCACCCCATTCCTCATCGGGGTGCTGGCACCGTGCCTGCCAGAGCTGCTGGAGCTGCCCATCGAGGAGGTTTGTCAGAATTCAGTGAAATCGTAAACAAAGACTTCAGATGATCCTGTGCAGCAGCTTCCACTCAGCGTAATGAAGAAACCCCCTGAAGAGACTCACCACACGTTTGAGTAACTGTCTCTCTCTCTCTCTCTCTCTCTCTCTCTGTCTCCTCAGGTGCTCATAGTGGATCTGTGTGCAGACAAGTTTGTCATTCAGGTGTGTACACATAGCAGTGCTCGGTGGGGAATGAAAGGTGTGGTCCCTCTGATTAGGATGGCTTTGCCCACACTTGTCCCTGGTTTGCATTCTGAATGTTTTGAGGGTGACTGAAAGAAATGTACAGAAAGAAATGTGTTGTTTGTTTACATTAGGTTTGTCTTAAACTGTCTGGGTTTCTGGCTAACTCTTTGTCCAGTCCCTTACCCTCTTAAGTGACGCTTCCAGTAATTATGAGCCTCATTTATTGCATATATTGGAATCTAAATGATGAATTGGTACATGAAGATATGGGGCTGCTTTACTTGAAGCTGATAGACAGCCGGTCATGACTGTGGTGTAAATCTTTAGGGGGAAATACAACCAAACAAAGCGAGTCCATTAGGTGATTTTATATCAAAGTATCTCACAACATTACATACAGTACATAATCCATACAGTAAACACACGTTGCTCTTGTAGCTCCTAAAGAAGCAGCAGTACTTAGTTCAGATTGTTTCATAACTGGCTAAAAACTCCTTACAGGAGCTTTAAGGCAAGAACCCTTATTTAACCAGAAACAGATGTTTGCCTCCCATAGACAAAAACAGTCATTCTAAAAACAAGTTCCTGCTTAAACACTGACTCAACTGGTTAGTTTAAGTAATATCTCATGTATTAGATCCAGACAAACTCTATAAAACTTCAGTTATATAAGGACACAAAATACTTGACCTGGTCATGGCAGCAATAGGTCAGTAACCGTAAAGATCAAATCTCTGTTTTTCTCAATGGAATCTGGTGGCTTCATCAAAAGAAAGATGTCTAGACTTGCTATTTTTATAGTGTTTAGATCAAAATTTTGTTATAAATTAGCAAATCAAGACGAACATAGACTCATTGATTGATTAGGGATGTTTTCTTTTACTGTTTTGACACACCTTCTATCATCAATCGGAGCCAGTGTGACTAAAACAAACACTTCTATCAGACTTACGGTGACGTTTTTGGTGCATCTGCAACAAAAGATTAAATTGCAGCAAACTCGGTCTGTCTCACAGCTCCATCCTGAACAATCAAGTGCAGCAAACTCATATGTGTTAGCACCAATTATTCATGTAGTCCCCAAATATGTAGAAAATAGTGTCTAGGTATGAAATACCAGATTCCACCACTAGTCTGTTGAGACAATAAGAAATGTGCACAGCCTTGCTTCAGGTCATCACGTGACTGTTGTTGAACATTACTTGTGATGTTTGGACAGCTTGGCGATGAGGACTGCATCCTGCCCAGTAAGCTGCAGGCGGCGCTGCTGCAGATCCTGGAGGAGAGGGAAGAGATCCTGAGACAGGAGGATGGAGACAGAGGTGGAGGTTTGTATAACAGAAAGATGCTTTAAGGCAGTCAGGTTTTCAACATCTTCAGTCACTGATTTTGTGGATTAGCAGACACAACAGTATATCATCGGCTGCATCAGCTCTTATACTGTAACTATGAATTCATGATGCCACCTCTTCTACAGGTTAGCTGCCGTTTGTGCATGTAAAAAAAAAAATGTTTAAAAGTTCATATTAAGTCAGTAAATCTTTTAAGCAAAAGTGTTAAACTATCTAAGCCCTCATAGGAAGTTATGAAACATATACATGTTATATAAAGTGATTGTAAAGCTACAGAACATTTCTCTGTTTTCAATCCGTTGATCTTCTTTTCAAACTCTGCCCCGTCCAGATCATCAGGCCGACCTGAGCTCTTTGGTGTCCGAGGGTTTCGTGCGGTTATTCGTGGAGCTGGTGGGCCACTATCCTCTCCACATGGTCGAGTCGTCCAACGGGAGCAGGGAGCTACAGCGTGACAGCTTCCGCAAATCTCACCCGTCCCGTGGAGTCCGCCAGTTCCTGCAGCTCTTCATGGAAACTCAGATGTTTGCAGGATTCATTCAGGACAAAGAGCTGCGCAAGGGCGTGGGCAGAGGTGAGTGTGTGGATGAAGCTCATTCTTAATAAAACACAGAAAACAATCCCTATTAGACGATATATCATTAGCTGTTTATGCTACAATATACTGATCAATTCTAAACAAGCCGGAATAAAATTTGACGCACTTGATTTGTCAGTACTCAGTTCTGATCACACTCTGTATTAGAAGCTGACTTAGCTCTCTAATTAAACTCAGATTTTTGGATTTAGGATTTGCATTTTCACCATCACCATCTTTTTGCTGATTGGCTCAACATTTCCGTGTCCCTCTCAGGTCTCTTTGAGTTCAGAGTGGCCGAGTATATGGATACGTACCCTGAGCCAGAGCCGAGTAGTGTGAACAAGTTTCTAAAAGGACTGGGTAAGTGATGCTGATTCATCTTCTGTAGAGTTCACTTTCAGAGACTCTAATTCAACAGCTAATGAATTTGTCCTTTTTTTTTTTTTCTTTTTTTTTCAGGAAACAAGATGAAGCTCCTACAAATTAAATGAAAATCACCTCGGCTTTTAAAAGACTTTGTAATTAAAAACAGAATACCTGCTGCTGCTGGACTCGTTGAGGAAATGAATGTGGGTGAGAGGCCGGCGTCCGGATGTGAACAGGACAGCGAGGAGCGGACCCGCCTCATCTTTGAGTCATGTTTTAAAAGAAATGCACTTCTTATCGGACCAGAACTGGAAACTATCATTGACATGTATTCCCGTCACCAAGCCTTCAAAACGAGTCTGCAACAGTACAAAAAGACATTCCTTAACCTCAGCCTGATCAACGAGTGGACGTAAAGGTTCTTAGTATAGAAACATGTTTACATGCATGACTTTAAGGCTCGACGTTTACACCCATCTCCTTCACCACGTGTGCATTTTTAGTGCAAAAGCAAGTTTGCCACATTTCAAATGTGTAAATACTTTTAAAGAATAATGTGCATTGTTCCAACCTGACGCCTGTTTTTACATTTTAATGTAAAATGTTTCATTCCTCAGTACAAACAAATGTTTTGTTTACCATTTTTATTGAAACATTCTTTGTGTTTGAATTCTCAGATAAACCTCTTCAGTCAAAATAAGAATAAGATTTGGAGAAGAAATGTCTATCATCCTTCTGTTTTGTGACTTTCTCCGAGTTAACTTGGGTTGTTGATACTTTTTTTATGTTTTGCACAATTTTGAGAACCAGTGTACAGTATTCGGAGTATTTTTATACTAAAGCATGATGTGTCCTACAAACGCTACTTTTTAAATAAAGGGCTCCAAAGGACAGTATTGAATGTGTTCAGTTATAAATGATTTAAATACATCTGCACACTGAGCCTGCAGAATACACATTTAGGCATATGTGTATATAATTTATTTATATCATAGCTGTATTTTTTTAAGGTTTAGCCTTTATTAGATAGAACAGAAGAGACAGGAAATGTTGGGAGGGGAGAGCTGAGGACGACATGCAGCAAAGGGCCGAGGGCGGAATTCAAACCCAAGGCGGCTGCCATTAAGTGTCCACATATGAAGCGCCTGACATCACCACTGGGCTGTCGATGCCCCATAGCTGTATGTATTTTACAGGAAAAACATTTGCATATATTTAAAGGTCTCTCTGAGGAGATTGTCTGTATTATGGTCTCAAAATAAACATGGATAAACATTAAAGTGTCCTAAAACAACAGTTAGCTGATTGCATTAACAGACCTTCCTATAAATCAGTTTAAATTAAAGAGACAGAAAATCCTGTTGAAATATGTAGTGAAACCTTCACCTAAAATTAATCTCAAACCCTGTCAGTCTAAATCAATCAGATAAAAAATAAATTAACTTTTTTTATCCCATCAATGGAACAGAAGAAGAAAACCTCTTACAATGAGTAAGTTGGAAGTCTGAAACCTCAAATATATTCAGTATTCAAATATTAATCTGGTGATTGAACATACTAAATACATTTCGGGGGAATAAGATTTTAAAGAATGTTTAAAAGCTAAATTAAAGGATGAATACAAATAGCTTTGTTCTAAGTCCAAATCTTTCATTTTCAGTATTTGAATCTATGATATTAATTTATATTCTCTTACAGAGTTGTTCATGACTATTATGTTTTAAAGCAGAATATTGATATATTTAAGCTTTAGTTCCTCTTCACTAACATTAGTAATGGATCAGTTCACAGCTGTTTGAACACAAGGGAAACATTTAATCAGGTTAACCCTTTAATGTCCAAATAAGATCTGTTTTTTTATACAAGTTTTATTTGTGAAAAATTCTGTGACTTGTGATCGACTCCAGTGTATATTGATATATACTATACCATTTTATTTTTATTTATTTAACCAGGTAATTAACTAATTAAGACCAACATCTCTTTCACAACATGGCAAAGAGGGCAGCAGCAGCTCACGTCATAAATAAACATCACGTGATTAAGAAACTGTTTACAAAAAAAGTTAAGAGCAACAATTCAAATGTGCAAATTGGTACATACCAGAATTTTTTTTATTTTAAATCGCTTAAATCTGATTTACAAAGTTTTTTTTCCTGTAAAAAGAAGCACATTTATTTATGATAGTTGAATGAGACTAAACGTGAAACATCATGACTGTTTTGTGTTGTTGCATTTACCTCTGAGCTCTCAGTTTGTCACTTCATTGTGTCGATCTGAAACCACAAAAGCAGATTCTTAAGGTTTTAAAGAAGGTGCACACAGAGGAGTTAATGCTGCAGAGGTCAGCTGTGTGTGACACACCCAGAGAGGGAGGAATGACAGGGGCAGGATGAACAGGTTCTTCTGAAGTGGGAAGTACTTTTCCCCGCGCTCAGTCTCTCAGGCACTACTTCCTCTTTGGCTGCATAAATCTACAACGTCCTCTTTTAATTTCCCAACAGCAAACAAACTGAACATATATAGGTCAAAAAATAAAATATGAACCTTTGAATGACGGAGCTGTTTGTTGGCATGACACACACGATAACAAACAACCCTGAGAGGCAGATTCAGGTTAACAACTTTATAAGAACGCCAAGTGATGTCATACAAGCATGTACCAACCATGACCACATGGGGGCGCTGTCTCCTCATACTTCCACTGACAGAAAGTATCCGGCAGAGTTGAGCTGTCTTCATGAACGTTTCTGTTTCAGAGCTACAACATCTTAGATTTCAGAGGTTTAGTATTTATACATTTGAATGTCTGGATTATGAATATCTTTGATTCAGCGGTGAATGTTGGAGACTTTCTGTCTGTATATACTTGGGACAGCATCATCAAATGTCCTTGTTATGAGCTAAGATTTGAGGCTAAGGTCAACCAATTTCCTTTTTTAAATTTGCACATTTGGATCAATCCAAAGCAAAATAAAACAGTCCCAACCAAAATGCAAAACTTCCTGTTGTTTTAGCATTGTTAGACGTCAGTTTCCAGCTGTTTTTGGTCTTCTATTGAAAAAAGAAAACCTAAACAGTGAGTTTCTTTCTTTTTTACGTTCATGATCAAAATGTATTAATCCGGCCACACTGTTACTTTAATTTAATTATTTTCTCTTAATAATCGACTTAGGTCTCCCTTTAGGAGAGACTTGTTCTACTACATAAGCCCTGATGCTGGTGAACTTAAACCAGTTAAATTAAATAACTGGTTTGTGGAAAGTCCTAACTCCATTTCTACCAGATCAAATATTTGAAGTAGAGATTTAATTTCATAGTATTACATTAAAATCACTTTTAAAGGCTTTATATATTTTTATTCAGTAGATGTCGCCCTTGAGCACCAGGATGAAACCAAAACAACTTGCGCTGCATTGTTGTGTTAGCATGCTAATACTAGCAATCTTTATTATGCTCGTATCTTCACACTGCATGTAAATTTACCTGAAATGAGCGTGATCTAGAAACACAGTTAATCAGTGAGTACAGTATGTTATTCTTCTTTTCTCTAGTCCCTCAATTAAACAACTTTTATTCACATTAGAGCAAGCCGGCCGTCCCGGCGATGTAAACAAACTGAAGATAGGACTCTGAAAACTCTGAAAACATCACAGACAGTGGGACTCGGGCGTTACACCCATTGTAGACAGTCAGTATAAATACACAACATTCAATAACATAAAACCACATGACACTATATAAGATACATACAACTATAATGAACTTACTTGAGGCTACACAGCGGTGCAGTGGTTAGTGCTGTCGCCTCACAGGGAGGAGGTTCCTGATTCCAGTCCCTTTTGGACCGGAGCCTGTCTGTGTGTAGTTTGCAGGTTCTCCCTGTGCATGCGTGGGTTTCCTCCTGGTACTTTGGCTTCCTCCCACAGTCCAAACACAAGCTTGTTAATTGGAGGGTGTACCCCGCCTCTCAACCAATGACAGCTGGGATCGGCTCCAGCTTCCCCGCTACCCCAAATGTGAAAAGGGGTATGGATAATGGATCTTATAGTCTACAGACTACTCAAAGCACTTTTACACCGCATGTCACGCCCACACATTCACACACTGATGGTAGAGTCTGCTATGTAAAGAGCCCATCAATATTAACTCATCCATTCATACACATTTATACGCCACTGACGAAGCAGCAGCAGGAGATACTTGGGGTTAAGTTTCTCGCCCAGGGACACTTTGGACATGTTGCTGCAGGAGCTGGGGATTGAAATGCTGACCTTCCAGTTAAGAGACGACCGACTCTACCAACTGAGCCCCATCAAAACACCTATACCACAATTTGACAATACAAAAATACTATTAGAATTTTAAGCTACGACATGTTGCTATTACTTCATTAGATACACTAAAGCTGCTTGATTCAGACACTCTTCGGGATCAGGTTTTGTCAAAGTGAAATCTGTGCCTATCTGTTTTTATGAACAAATCCTAAATGTATCTGACCCTGGTGCCCTCGGGGTCCCTGCAGTTAATTCAGCCATGTGCTCGGCTATCTCATTTTCAATCTATCTCCACGACTCTCCTCAAAAGAGAAAGACTGTTTAGAAATGTGGATTAAAGGGTACAGTAGGTTTTTATTGTTGAAGTGTTTCAGCAGTTTCTTGACTCCATAGTGGTTCATTCTGATCTCAGTCTTTCAAAGCTACTATTAGCCTCTATCAGTCTGACTGACTTTGCAAAATCATGTGGTGTTACAACAATTTTGAATACAAATATCCTTTTTTTTTAAGGCGGTGTGAAGCTGCGGTTGAGGGATAGTAAAACAAAGAGGTCATTTGTTAGTAAAAAAAAAAAGACTGACGCAGGCAGTTGAAGGCCTCATATTAACTTCAGCTGAACTTTAAAAGATCATTTACCACACAGAGTCATGACTGTGGAGTTTGTCTCTCACGCTTGATTCACATCAAGAAGGGATTTCTGTGGGACAGGATAGAAACAGGACCAGGACAGAGGCAAACTACCGTATTTAGCTGTCGATCCAGACATGTGAGTATTTCTCTGTTATTGTCTTCTGCTTGGGCGACAGACTGTGTGTGTCAACAGGTGATTTTTTTTTTTACAACACACCAGAAATGTAATTATGCATAAACTAGACTAGGCATAGCTGCAGCCATAAAAGCCACATGTTGTCAGTTTGTTTGAAAATGAGGATCTCGAGCCAAACGGAAACATGGCAGAGTTCAAGAGTGCGCTCTGTGTTATGGAGAGAGATTTTTAACCTGCTGTAAACGTGAGTCCTGTGAGCCTGAGAAGGCCATTTCCATCCAGCGTACATCGTTAAATGTCTGTTTTATTTCTTGATTGGACTGATAAATGCACCTTGATAAGGAGTTTTTTTTTTTTTTTTAATGTTATGAGGAATACTTTCCACTTCCTCAAAGAATGACTTAGCAAGATATCTCGGAGAGCTTCACAGAGGCCTCGAGGCCAAAGATTATTCAAAGAAGAACGTGACTGTTTTGCAGTTGTGGGCCGTAAAGATAAGCTGATGACCAGAGCTGGCTTTCAGTAAACTGTAAATCAGACCCTCATAAGATCGTAAATCGATGCTGCTGTTAACCTGCTTTGTTTTGAACCTCACCTGTCAGACAGCGATAAGGCAGCGCTGTATGAAAATGACGCGACTGGATCAAAACTGCATGTAGGCTACACCAAAATGTGTTGTTAGTGCATTTGATGCATCATGATGTACAGTTTATCAGTAGACTGTATGTATATGTAGCCTCTTATTTGCAATAGAGAAAACCATGTTGAATGGCCTTAACCCTGTGTTCTTCCTAATGACCAGTAGGGGGCGGTTGCAGCGGTCTTAAAAAGTTGTCAGACTTCATAAAAATCTGCCAGAGAATGACAATATTTCTTAGCGCAGAAAACATTTTCCATGAGAGTGTTTGGCATGAAAATTTAAGGAAAAAAGTAAAAACTAACTAAGTCTAAAAGGAATGGCATGATTGAATGAATGAGTGTTTGTTTGTTTATGCAAAGAGACATCACCTGACAGTACCTGATAAGACGAGGACACACTCCTTCTTTTTATAGTCATATAAAGTGTTAATTCAAAATGAAGATAACGACTAGAACAGGACTCTGGATCAACTCTGACCGATCCAAATCAAGAACTGATGAATCTCATGAACCTTTTTGAAGTAGGCTCGTGTATTTGGGTCAGCTGTGTCAGGTTATCATTTTCTGTTTAGGAGGCTGATAACAGTTTTGGTGATTAAATTACTGTGTTCCTCTTTTCCTGAAGTCCATATCACCTGTAGGGCTTGAAGTAGGGCACTAAACTTTCCACTGAGGCGTGAGGCAGGGGCATATCAAGAGGGTGATAGGGTGGCATGGGCCCCCCCCAAAAAATCTGACTGGCCACCTCAAAAAATCCTAAACCTGTGATTGGCTATTTGCCCTGTCAGAAGCGAGAAAGGCTTCTAGTATTTTTTATTTACACATCAATGAGTTGATATTCAGAGAGAGAGAGAGAGAGAATGGGGAAACAACATGTGGGCAGGAACCAACAGGTTGGATCCGAATCCGGCCCACCCGCTTGATGGACTATAGCCTCCGTACAGTACATGGATGTGTGCCCAACAACCAATAGGCTACCGGCACATCACACTTCCTGCATTTTAAGGCACACTTGAATTTCATTTGAAATTCAAATTCACATTTGAAATTCAAATTCACATTTGAATTTTCATTTGGCTTTTCCCTCGGGATCAATAAAGTATCTATCTATCTATCTATCTATTTACCCAAGAAGTGAAGATTGAAACATTTTTTCAACATATAAAAAGAAGGGGCGCTGATGATGGCTGGGTTCAAATCTGGCTTGCGGCTTCTTTCCAGCATGTCATCTCCCCCCCCCCCCGTCCTCTCTATCATCTATCCTATCTAAAGTCGTTTTCACATATGCACTCCGGATAATTTCTAGATATTTACAGGAGGACTTCTCCGGAGATTCTCCCGAACTAGCCGTTCACATATGCTCCTCACAGCGGGGGACTTTCCTTGTCAGAGGGGAGGGGCAGCAGGGGATTGATGGTTAATGAGCTTAATGAGACATTTTTGACCAGAAATTCTTAAAATACTTTGTCGTCTTACATTTGAGTCTTTTTGTTTACAGCTGTTGACAAAAGATAAGTCAGGGAAATTATGAATCTTTTTCCTTCCTGGGAAACTTTTCTTTCACCACAAGATAAGATGAGAAGAAACCTCCTTGTAAGGAAATCAGTTCTGGACAATGTCCTTAAGTTTTCTGGAGAGTTGCACATAAAAAAAACCCAAATAACAATCCAAGGTCCAATAAAACAAATGGTTTTATAACATAATAAACATAAAGAAATGCCAAGAAAGCTTATGCACACTAAAAACTTTTTAATTTGATTTCAATCAGGGATGCACCAATGCATCGGTGTAATATTGGTATAGGCCGATCTCGGCCCTGTCCACAGACATCAGCATATCGGCAAATAATGTGACATGAACCGATGTTGGTCTGTTGTGTCGTATCAATTTAAAGTTGACATCTAGTACATCTAACTACTAATTCAGAGAACATGGCTGGCTTTGTGGGAGTCTTAAAGCAAAAAGAAGTCATGAAGAAACATCGAGATTGGAATCGGATAAAATTGTTATTTTAAACATCGGTATTGGCCGTGATTTTCACAATCGGTGCGTTCCTAATTTGAAGACATAAAGACGAGAGAGAACAATTGTGATCAGGAATTGATTGTACTTGTTTTCCAGGACTTCCATATAAGAGATGCTCTACTTGTGTTGATAACAAACTACAGCGTGAAATAACATCATCATCATCATGAGCGTCAGAGTTAGCATCATCATTGAAACATATTCCGGTATTTTCCATCACATGGGAAGCCAGAATGATGTTCACCAGTTCAAATCACTACACAAGTGGTGGATTGTACCGACCACACTCTTCTTGATATATAAAACGATATAGATGTTCCACTGCTGTACATCTCTGAGCATGACCTCAGGAGTTCAGATTTGACCCTGTGGCTGAGCATAAGAGGTAGAAAATCATCTTTGCTCTGTTGTGTTCGAGTTAATATGGACTGAGTGAACACACAGTAAACACTGTGTCATTTTTACAGCCTGCCTGCACACACAGCTTCTCGTCTCACGTGTATCCCTCCCCAGCCTCATCAGCAGCCGCACCCCTCCCTCCACCCTGCAAGACAACTTACCGTAGCTTGTTTCTCGCCACCCACCCTGCCACCCCCTCAATCTCTGACGTGTTTATAATATATAACGGCAGCTTCATGGATTCCAGTCAGGGGAACAGCTTTTTTATTGTATTCCTTCTCCTTCCTCAAAGCACTCACAACTCAACGCCCAATAAATGACTCTGCTGATATGATAAAGCAGTATTTGTGTTTGGGTTACTGAATAACCCCGTCAGCTAGACATCTGCTATGACCCATAGTCATTAGTCATTACCTTAAAATAAAACAACTAATCAAATAAAACAACTCAAACTCCTCCTCTGAGTCAGGTTAATGATCATGAGTTGATTCCTGTTGGTTGTTTTTTTTTTTTACGACCACTTCCTGGATTTAATAATTAAGAATGTTGCAGAGAGGTTTTTGAGACGCTGATGTTTTGGGATAAATCTTCTTTTCTCGTGATCTTGTTAAGGCCTTATGAAGAGTTGGGGATTAGAGAAGTGTATTTAATTAAACAAGTAATCTAACTACATTTCACAGGGGCTTGTTGGTACTTAAACTTCATTGATAATCATTACTCAATCATGTCATTAAATAACTTTCCCCCCTTCCTTATAGTTAAATACTGAGACTCAAACTGTATTTTTTATAGTAGAAAGTGAATAATTACCTATTCTATTTATTTATTTTATTATTAAATGTCTGATACAACAATCATGTTACATTAACAGGTGACAAATTAAAGTGTTCAAACACTGAAAATTAAGTCGAGTACATAATCAGATCCATGTGGTCTACATTAAATCTTGTACTGAACATCTTCCTGGGAGTTCCTGCCTGTTGTTATTCCACCCCAAAGTTTCCGCACTCCGAGTGCTACAACTATTGTTAACAGCCTTACTTTATCGATATTATTATAATAAAGTGAATCTGTGATCTGCTCAAATTTAACCTCTCTAATTAAATGCTAAATGGACTTGAGCTTGGCCAGCGAAGCAGCAGGAGCAACTTGGGGTTAAGTGTCTTGCCCAAGGACACATCAGAGGTGTGGCTGAAGGGGCTGAACGCTTGACCTTCCGGTTGAGAGACGACCGACTCTTCTAACCGAGCCACAGCCGCCCCATATCTTCCAATACCTATTACTGACGTTGTAGCTATAAATCTCTTTCTCACTCGCTGTTGCTCCGTCTCTCTCTTCTTGCATCTCCCTCTGTCCCCTCTTAACCCCGACACAGTTTCAGCTGAAGGCTCTTCATCATGAGTCTGGTTCTGCTCCAGGTTTCTGCCTCTTAAAGGAAGGTTTTCCTCTCCACTGTAACTTTGCTGAAAGTTGCTTAGTGCTCATGATGGATTCATGTTGGGTCTTTGTAAATACCATAACAAAGTGTTTGGTCTTTTACCTCCTTGTGTAAAGTGCCTTGAGATAACATTTGTTATAAACTGGCGCTACACAAATAAAGATTGATGGATTGACATGTCTTGCACGAAAAATAGAGTTTGAGCTATTAGTCATCAACATGGATGCAAAGAATTCTTTGTTTGTTTGAAGAGGAGGCTACTGAAAAGGACCATTACGTAACATTACACATGAATTCCCCCTCTGAGGATCAGTGAAGGATGTCTGATCTTACATCCAGGGATACAGAGGTACAAAGAAAAGAGAGGAGATTTTAAAGGGGACATATTATGAAAAATTCCCTTTGACAGTGTTCTTGAACATATATTTGGGTAACCTGAGTGTCTACTGACCCACAAAATGTGAAATAAACCCATCCAGTCCTTTTTTTTACCCAGTGGTCTGCATAAGTCTTACAACACAGAGAAAAATGCTCTGTTTCAAATATGGTCTCCTTGTGACATCACAGTGGGATTCCCCTCGCCTCCCATGGTCTCGCAACCCGTGGACCGCCATTTTTATTCTCGCTACAGAGGAGTGATGTCTACTGGGAAAACTCGGGGGGGGGGGGGGGGGAGGGGGTCATTGCCTTTAAAGAGACACACACACCAAAACGGAGCGTTCTGAGAGAGCTGGTTTATACAGGGTCACAAACCTCCTCTGGTGTTTGATTCATGTTACATTTTGACCACAGCACAGCACAGATGTTTCATTTAGACCACAGGGGGACTGTTTGAAAAGGTGGAGAAGGGGGATGATATGTCCTCTTTAAAAAAAATAAAAAAATTGGCTTCACAAATTTGCTAATAATAACTGGTGAGTGTTTAAACACACAAGGCCGACTCTGGACTTGGTTTCTCACATAATGACCACTGTTAAGGCACACTGAGCCAATGCAGTCATCTTAGGTAACCAACTTTCTTTTTTGCTATTTATTAACACAAGTTCAGAGGGGGTTTTCTTTAGCACAGAACTTTAAGAAGTCACTTTGCTTAAAGATTAATCGTGCTTGGTGCAATAACCCCCGCCCAGACTGCAATTACTTGAAGTCCAGTTCCTTCGGCTAGCGAGTTAGGGAAGTTGACTGTATCTTATTTTCTTTATTGTATTTCAGTAAGGTAGTCTGGGTTATAGTTAAATATATAGATTTTATTTTGCCTCTTCCAGCTCTCCCTGAAGTCTGAGTAACTTTGTGTTTAGTAAAAAGAAGAAGAAAATAAGGTAGACAGCAAACTTGATTTTGTTTTTGAGTCATTGGGAGTAATAAAGAAGAGAGTCACTTTTATACTGCGTCTGGTTTCCCCTAGTCTAGTTTATCTGAACCGCCCTAAGGTAACTCCATTTTGGACACAAGCTTTTTCTAAATGCTTTCAGACATTTTGCATTTTACAATATTGGAACCTAACGACCTCTGGTGCTGTGTGGAGTTACCAATCTGTTTCCACTTTTCCCCTTCTTTTTTTTCTTAGGGGCTTTCACGCCTTTGTTTGAGAGGACAGTGGATAGAGATATCAGGAAGAGAGAGAGGGGAGTGATATGTGAGTAATGAGACACAGGTCGGAGTTGAACTCAGGCAGTCTCCGTACATGGGGCACCTCCTAACCGCTAGGCCATCTGCGACCCCGGTTTCCAGAGTCAATAAATGTCAACTGCTATCCCACATTCTTATAATAGCAGAACAACGACCAACAGGGTCGCACAGCCCAGCTGGGCGAACCTGAGGAAGCGAAACACATTGTTCAAGTTGTAACAATAAAGTGTCAGTGAAGTCTTTTTCAGTGTGCCCTGGTTAATCTATCAAAAAAATATATCTTAATGTTTCCAGAGAAGAAGCAGAAGTCTCACCTCTTAAATTGAGTAAAAAATGGTCAAACTCTGAAGTTTGGAGGGGATTCAATATTAAAAAAACTCAGTAACTGAAGACTAACTGAGAGTATGACGTTGATAACCACCTTAGAAGTGATGTGACATTAAGTCCCAGGGGGGAAGTGGGGGTAGACCCTTTTAATTGTTATCCTCTCTATTTCCTCCTTTTCCATGTGTTTCTCTTCTCTTCCTTCTGCTATTTAATGTTGACTGTGTGTTTGTTTTCTTATTTCAACAACGTAGCTTCTCCAACAAACATGACATCATCATTTTATCATAACAATCCCTAAAGTAATAGTGTATAAAAAACAAAAAGCATGCGTTACAAAGTAACCGCTGCGTGTTCACTCTTCGGGAACAGCTGTGACTACAGTGTCAATGTATCATGATAACTAGCAACTTTGTATGCTGGTCAGGAAGTGAAACAATGAGAATATAATCCTGTATCACCACCACCTCTCACTTTATCACTGACTACATGGAAATGATCCTTTGAGTGGAGAGTCCGTCCTTAAGCCTACTCAATGTTACAAAACCTGGGAAGTTTGTTTTTGGTGTGTTTAATGTCCAAAGCAGGAGTGTTACAGTGTCTCGCTTTGTTTGTATTTCTTCATTTTTTAGTTCTTGGTTATAAAGGTGCAGCCTCTGGAGTTTTCTAAGAGTGGGACATTGTAGGAAAGAAGGGAAAGGCGGATGAGAGGGCAAGAATGTGTATTACTCTCCTGAAATCTACCCCTCCCCTCCTCTTCACCTCCAGACACCACCTCAAGGCTGAGACGCTCTGCGAGGACATTTGCATAAAGTGCTAAATAGGGATCTGATGGAGCAGGGCAGGTGATACCGGCCAAAGGACACACAGAGGAAGGAGGGCCCAGAGCTGACACTGACAAAGCTCAGAGCACACACCCACCAACACACACAGACACGCTCACACTAACTCACACCTGTGGCTCAGGCAGAGAACTCAGACCTGCACAGAGGAGGACTTATACGAACCTCAAACTCTCCCCTGCTGGGATCTCAGAAGTATTTCATTGCAGAAAAATGTATTTTGGACTTCTACGGGAGTGAGCTGGGAGGAAGAGAGAGGACCATCTCACATCTTCATTCGACAGGTAAATGCAACCTTTGCTCTTAATATAACATTGACCTTTTGTGCTGTTTGTGGCATAAAAATTATAAATATTTTCACGACAACATTTTTAATTTAAGCATTGTTTTCTAAAGGGAATACCTGGTTTCTTTTAAGAACTACAGTACTTAGACCTAAGAGATTATCCTCACAACTAACACCAAGAAAACCTAATCCTGAACCACTGGATTAAAGTGTTGTACGTCTCATTATCTCCATTTGATTCAGTTTTAAATAAAGTCAAATGTGCACTTGGATAAAAGAAATGAGGGAGCAGCTGCACGAGGTAGTAGTCACATTTCTTGAGTTTCTTGACATTTCCAGTTTGCTTTCTCAACTGCCAACAAACAGCTTCCTGCATTGTCTGTTTGCACAGCTACCTGTTCATGCTCACGTTCAGTTTAACTGTCTGTAGCAGACCCCCCCCCCCCCCACCCAACCCTCAAACAGCAGGTAGATCAAGTTTCATTTACCTTTCAAACTGAGAACAGGTAGAGCAGCATTGGAGACAATGGGTTTAACTGAAAGTACGGCTGAAAGTACACACAACTGAGCACGAGACAAAGGGGCTAACAACACCATCATCATGATGGTCGAAAAGAAATTTGAGATATATGCAAAGTGAGTCTCGTGACATGCGAAGAGTGATTTGTATATTAGTGGGTCAGTAGGACAGATAAGAAAAACATGTGCCACAGACTGAGATAAGGGATCATAAAATGCAGCTCAAAGTACGAACTTATAGAGACATAAAGGAGCTCCCCCATGTTTGAAATCGGGGTTCTGGGTCTTTATAGAAACCACATGGTGGCCAACAGGGACAAACAACCTACAACTGACTTCGATGAATTAGGAGAAAAATGTGTAAATTTAGAAATGGTGCAAAAGTAAAAAATGGAAAGTAATAATGAAAACATGCAGCAAGTATTTAAAAAAGCTCACCTCTTGCATGTTCTCTGTGCTTATGTGTTCCTGACTTTGCATCATTAATCCATTTACTGTGTGTTTACCATTAATGTTTTTCATTTGCATTTCCTGCATTGCATCTGTTTAGGACTCTTGCACGTGCTTTTGAATTTGCAGCACGTTTTTATAATGTAAATCACTCGGGCTGTTGAAGGTCAGTAAATTATTTTAGGTTATTCATTTTTAATGAGTAAGAGTGAAATAGATAAAGGAGGGTATGCTTTATGGCATTGCGATTTTGAAACCAGTAGAGTTCTTCTTGCTCCAAAATACAAGAGAGCATCGGCTGCAATGCCACACTGGAGGTCAACGTTGCTAAGTTGTCTTCTTCTACCAGACGAGAGGCAAGACCTTTGAGTGTTTTGATTTGATAGATATGTTATCTGATTTTATAAGGTTGACGGGACATCTAAAAACAAAACAATTAAAAATGAGAGAAATAAAAAAAACATAGAACAAAAAACAACACAAGACACAAATACAAACAAAGACACAGACAGAAAGCCTGTCGGTCACTTTAAATATACTAACATTAAAGATGTTGATCTTGTTACTTGTTACTACCACTCCTCCATTTGATAAAAACTATTGGACAGATTCCATTTTTGAGGGTCAGATTATGACATAAACAGCATATTTTCTGCTTTAAAAACAAAGATGGAGGAGGAATTTAAACAGACGCCTGTGGAATGTATTTATGCATTCCTCCTGACCAACCAGAAGACACATGAAACAGTGAAGCGTTAGCTTAGACTGAAAATAAATGTGGTACAAAACCAGCAGAAATGGAGATATATACTGTGGGGGGGGACACATTTAGACCTCACACAGTGAAGGTCACATCAGGTACTGAGCTAATCAGGTGTGAGGTTTGTTAGTCTGGAGTTCAAATGAAATTGATTTTATTATAACCCATAAAAAGGTCAAACAAAGAAGCTGTAAATGCATTCGAGTCTTCCTGGAGATTTTTATTAAAATGTGTTTTATCCGATATTACACACAGCCTGTCCTTGTGTTGACTGTTTGAGGAACGATTAAGGGTGCAACAAAAGCACGGCCTGAGGCGCTCGCCAAAACTGCTTCCAGCTGGTTGATTTTTGACAATGTGAGACTCTTTTGTTGCTCAGTGCTCCCAAGGTTGCTATTGACTCAGTGCTCGTTCTACAGGTAACAGGTAACACGGCCCGAGGCTTTTGGAGAACAGTTTATCTTTGAAAAGACCTTGAGCTTGATCTCTCTGACCCGTGAACGATGAGGAGTGTGTACTCATTAACCGTATATGAACCTCTTTAGATCTGAATAAACTATTCCTTATACTTGTAAATGCCAAAGAAAACATACACTTCTGTGTAAGAAAGAAGGCACATAATATAATATGTGTAATATATTTTAGTTTTTAAAAGACTTTGAGCTCTAACTGGAGGGGAGTAATTGGCTGAAAGAAACAAACCATTGTTGTAAATAAAATGTTACATTGATTAATATTAATACAAGAAGCTGCAGCAAATTACCATACCTGATAATTGAATGTCAGTTTTTGCAACAGGGAAATCAAGAAGAGATCTGCGCTGAGGGGGATCTTGAAACTGATAAGACAGGTGTAATTATACCGAAGAATCTGTCCTCATCCCACTAAAGCATGTAAGAATTCAGCGGAGACGAAGAGAGAGCGAGAGTTGGCGGTGCAGGAATTTCAAGGGTAGATGGAGCGATTAGACGGGGAACAAGCAGGGACTTTGTGTAGACGGGAGTTCTAGGGCAGGACGGACCCTGAGGGCACAGAAAGGAGAACACCTGTGGTCAGGCCTCCTTCACATTAGGGGGGCCTTTAATGCCTAACCCCTTGAACCCAAAATGACAAGATATTAACTGGTGAAAACCATCTTAAGAATAAGTGTAGACAAGAAGGTGAGAAATAGAAGAGTGAACTTTTCAGGTGGTGCAGACGTATCAGAATCCAAACAAGGTCCAAGCGAACTATAATGCCTACATTGGCTTTCTGTGCTTCTCAAACGTTCATGCTAATAAAGTCAGAGCAGACTGTGTTGGTCCCCGATGCTATCCCATGTCGTGTCCTCTAAAGTGACTCACTGAAAAACCTTCTTTCTTCAGCTGCTCAGTGCAAAAGAGGCCTCAGGACTCTTTATGCTAGCTCGTAGCATGCTATGGTGGCTAACATTAAACGAGTATATAGTGAGATATAACTTTAACCTTCTATTTCTCTCTACCTGCAAGCTAACAAACAGGCTAATGTTTAAGCTTGCTATGATAAATGCATTAAGGCAGAAACATTGGCATTAGCATGAAATAGTCAGAATAGATAAGTAAAAGTGAAAAGAAAGACCTGAATGTGCGCTAATTTTAACCTTATTTATGGCATGCTAACACACTTACACTTTGGCCTGCTATGTTGAAGGCCTTTAGGCAGAAATGGTAGCATTTTTCTTGGACATGGCCAAAATTAACTACTCGATATTGAAGGTTGTCGAGTCCTTTAAAACCGGTTTCTGTGCTATGGCCTACCTTTTTACCTTTTCAAACAAGGTTCCAGCAGGTAAAGGTGTGAAACTAGCAGCAGCACTGAATACCAATAGCTTAAAAGGGCTAGCAAACATGTGCTACATTCTTTTAGCGTAAATATGCCATCTGCTTATGTTGGACTACGTACTTTCTGAATATCAGCACCCACGTCGATATTGAAATATTTAAAAGTGCAGATAAACCGAAACCAGAGCAGCAGTACAGTACAAACATTACAATGTCTCTTTTATTACCAGTTACACTCTGTACTAGGAGACTGTGAGGACAATAAAGTTCGCTCTCTCTGTCAGGTCATGAGCAAGGAAACATTTACAATTTACTGCTCACTACTGCCGGGCGCAAAGGGAACATGAGCATTTCAAATTAGCACTTGTGATACAACACTGCTAAAGCAAAGGTCCATTGTTCATTTTGATTAAATTAAAGGTCTTAAAGTGGTCTATCTTGGCTTCTCTTAAGAACATGGTACTTGTAGTCCTGGTTGTAATGTGCGTTCCTTAAAAGAACAGTTTGTCCTGAATAATAACTCTGTAGGCTACCTAAAGAAAATCAGTCATGCTCACATTCCAAGCAGGAGTCGACATTTTCCTGTGAACTCATTTAACCAACTTTTTTTTCCTTGTGCTCAATGCCGTTGCTTTATTTAGGAAATCCCCAACATCGCTGAACAAATTTGACATGTTTTTTACATCACACCCGTGATTGAATTACTCATCGACAGACCGAAATCCTGTCAGCTTTGTAATATAATGTGTGCTCTGCATGAAGGGGAAAACAGTTCAAGTTCTACATTGTATGAGATTGACTCAAAGCTTGTTGGGATTATGGTTGTTGATGACGACAATGGTTTGCACTTGCTTGGACAGTTTTCATGACGCTTAAGCAAGATACAACCTGAAATATAAAAACTAATCTCTACTTTTTATTCTCTGTTTTTAAAGATAATCCAGACGTACATACATTCATCTCCGGAAGATGGATCAGTCTCCTCAGGTCTGGCACATGCAGGTTGACAATGCTGGAGAGCTGCAAAAGAAAGTGTCGATCGCTGGTCAGCCAGAATGCTCAATCTGCTACAACACCTACGACAACGTCTTCAAAACGCCAAAGCTGCTGGAGTGCACCCACACCTTCTGCCTGGAGTGCCTCTCCCGCCTCATGGCGTTCTCCCTTGCCGAACAAGAGGATAATGGCGGCAGCCCTCACCTCTCCTGCCCCTTCTGCCGCCAAACAACCACGCTGCCTGAGGAAGGACCCCCGGCCCTGACCACAAGCCACGAGGTCCTCTGCAAGCTGCCCAGCCACCAGCAGCAGGAGGAGCCGGTGTGGCTGGAAGGGGAGAAGCTCTGCTACAAAACCAGACACAACGCCCCAGACAGTCCCACGGCCTTTTGCGTCTGCATCGACATCGGGGCCACCAAGTCTGCTGCGCCGGTCCAGTCGCAGCCCCGGACTTCTGGCATTCTGGACCGGCTTTCTGACTGGAAGAGGATGGTGCTCTTCGTTGTACTCATGGTGCTGCTTGTTGTCATCGTGTTGTGGCCTCTACAGTGTGTTTTCAGCACAGGGAGCATGCGTTGCATGCGGGAAACAAACACTCCCAACCCAACCCCAGCTACCACTACCTTTAGCTCGATCGCTCGCTCTTCTCTGTCCGATTAAACTTCTAAACTTGCTGGACTTCACTGCAACTGTAAATTATTTGTTTTTGACACAGCCCTTATTCATCCTTTGCTCATAATTGCAACAACTGTTGCTGTCAACACCTTATATTTCCACCTGCAATAGAGCCACAGGTTTTGGACTGCAATAGAACTTCGATGTTGGACGAGATGTCAGACTTTAGCGCCACTCAGTGTTGGTTTTTAAAAAGGCACTCTGACTAACCCCACAGGGCGCCAAATATGAAAATGCTGAAAGCAACATGGACTGCATTCACTGGAATTTTGAGTTTTGGTTACCTATGCAAGTGAAATCATTGAACTATTTAACATTTTTAAAATCATAATCACTTTCAAATAGCTGCTTTAACTGGAATAAATCCCTCTCAAGCTCCTACACAGCAGTCCTTCAGTACAGAATTGTTAATAGAAGCTTTAAAGGCTGATTAAACGACAGTGATGGACTTTTTGTTGATATAGCCTGCCAAACATGATGTTGAAGAAGCTTGCTGTATTTATGCCAAAAATTGTTTCAATGGATTGTGAACTTTTCTATGCAAATATACAGTCAGCTGAAGAACAACAAAAAGTCCAGATTGTAAAGAATGTAATCACAATGTGCCAACTGAGAACTCAAAGTGTTTATATATTGTACATTTGATTCGTATGTTTGTACAGACTATGTCTTTGTTTACAGAACTATAATAACAGGTTAGATATCTGCTTGGATCATATTCTGGATCAGTTATAGTTTACAATATTTACACAGCAGGTGCAGTAAATTGCCCTGAAACAACAACCAACATGTGACGTGCTTGAATGCAAATTTAAAAGTGTTAGTTTCAAAGTCAAGTTTTAATTTCCTCCCTATGTGAACCTTAGACTCATGACTACAGAAACAAAGCCTTCCTTTGTCTTCTCAGGAAGTTGCGTTCATTTATTCCTGGATTAGGAGCGTCACGTGAAGGAAAAGTGAGGCTGTGGGGGGTTTCCGAGGTTCTCACCTCTGACACATGCTTGAAAAGATGCTTAAATGTACATTAAAATGTAACAATCATTTAGGAGCAGTCGTAATAAAAGTGTGACTTCCTGAAGCACCACGAGTAAACATTGGTAACCGATTGATGCAGGATAAAAGGCTCAGCCATCGGCTTGAAACACACATTATTTTTTTTAAAGCAAATCCAGATAAGAATAAATCATAAGAAGAATAAACATTGTATGTAGACAAATTGAATAAAAGCTTCTTGTGATTTAATGCCACTTTGCTCCAGAGCTTTTGAACTACACACCTTCATAAAAAGAAACCTGTTGTTCCTTCTCTCCAATAAAGTAGAATAAACAGACGATTTTCCTTGTGGACGCCAGCTACATAAAACACTTTATTTGTATATTTTTGCAGCTCCTGTGTTCAAACGCTTAAAATGACGGTTATATTAGCCCTTATTTCAAACTCACCACTCTTCCAATCTTCTGCGTCTTTATTTTAAGTTTTACAGAACAACACCTCAGGCTACTGCAGGAAGGAAATACATTGCCATTCCTTTTAAAGTTCATGATTATGCTTTTTCCAATTAAACTAAACGTGTGTTATATTGCAGAGATATTTACATTTAAAGAGTTAAACCAGAGGGGGAAAAGATGAACAGAGAGACAAAGAGCTACTGACAGCAACACTGTCCTGTGTTTTCCTATTATTCAAGAACAAGGACTGACCCTGAAAGAGTCCGAAACTGAGAGCTGTCTTGTTACACTGATGTCTTTTGTTGTTTCATTTTGGAGCATAGTTTCCATTTCCTTCCTCCAAATAGAAAATCTTCTCGCTGTTCACTGGCAAAAATAAACGAGCATGGTTCACAGGTGTTTTCTTCCATAGTGCCATCATAGATTTTTATTCAACTATATGATAATAAAACCATTTGGATGCCATTTCTCGCAGCTCATTACATCAGCGTTTGTAGCCTGTACAGCAAGAAGGCGTCTGGGCAGAGCCAGTGCAAGAAGAGGAACAACACTCAGGATACCACAACACACTTCAGGCATACTGTGACCGACACAGGGACAAAAAAACAAAAAAACAAAAAAAACATCAATATCATGTTCAAGTACATGTGAAAGGTTCAGCAGAGAGAAATATTGTGTTACTTCTGCATAGCTCCGTGTACACTGGCTCACCTCAGAGCCAGACTAAACCACGGTGAAATGACACCAATCAAAATAATAAAACAATAATAATAACATTTCAGACATATATAAAATGCAAGTGTGGTTGAAATAATTAATCTTAAAACACAATTTGAAACATCTCAGCAAAATGAAACATCGACAAAATATAAAGAAAAGAAATGAAACACTGATGGCTGAAAATCTAGTGCACTACTCAAAACACTTCCACAGTCGACAGACTTCATCCACACGCAGCCTGAGGCCAAAGATTCAGCAGTTTCACACTTTCAAGTATTGTCATTTTTTTTCACCATATCATAAAAAATATGACCAACAGAGGCAAAGTACAAGATAATAAAAATTCAAAAATCATCGACACAAAAGTCAGTCAAGGGACAGATCAGAATTGAGGTACAGGTGAAGAACAAAAGGATGATCTGGAGGGGTTCAAACATCTTCATTATTCAAATTCAACCTCAGAAACTCATCAAGTGGGGCGGCATATTTCTGACAGGCCTTCAGCAACACGGGATATCAAAGCCACTTGGATAATCAAACATTTATATACAATGGCAGAAAAAAAAAGGATCCTCTACCGGGAAAACTCTCCAAGCTTACGATCCCAAAATAGACCAAAACAATAAATTGAGCTGATGTGACTAAAATTGGGGTCATGTTTAGTCTTTTAGAAATAGTGAAAAGTCCTGCAGCATGTTTTATTTTTTTAATTAACTGAAGCACTGAAAGGTTGAGTTTGTTAGCTTTAACCTTCAGAGCTTCAACTTATGAGCCTGGGCCTTAAAAAAATATGCTCTTTTAGCCTTTAAATGGCAGCTCTCTGTTTTCAGAAATGAAAATTATACTGATGCAGGCCACACTGTTACTTTATTCTGATATCACCCACAAGGTCAAAAGTATCTTAATACAGTTTATTTTGGAGCAATGACTGAGAAAACATGTTGCAGCTGCAGAAACTTGCGAGCTGAAGAAAAACAAGGTGATCCGAGCCTGCGTGTCCTTGACATAGATTGTCGCATACTTGTGTTTTTAGAGAGAAAGGAATGGACAGAGCAAAAAAAAACACGAACCAGTGCTGCTCACTTATGTTTTGTATTTACAGTACACCTTCAAAAAGGTAGACTGAACACACTGACAGTGACCTGAGCCCCCACTGGACTTCTCAATATTTTACTGTCTCACAAACTTTCTCCCGAGTACATCTATTTCTGCTTTTTTGGTGTTCAAATAAAAGCAGTCTTAAATGCAGACATGTTTGTTTGATGTAGGCATTCACATGAACACAACTGACTCACGCTGATTTCATAGCTAAACAGTTGATCATTGCTGGTTGTAAATATTTTTTAAACTGAAATAAAACCCCAAATTTTTAAATTGTGGACATTTCTAGTCAATAAATTCCACACAACCCTGCTAAAAATGTTCTTATTGTCAATTGAAATGGGACAAAATGTGTGAAAGTTGGAGAAAACTGGGTGCTGGTTTAGCTCAAATGGTAGCAGACGCCCCATGTACAGAGGCAAAGCCCTCAACACACTTCTTTGCTTCTTCGACTCCCGGCCTGGGACGACATTTCCTGCCTCTTTTCAAGCTGTCCTATCAATAAAGGCAAACATAATCTTAAAAAAGTGAGTAAATACGTAGGCAAGACACTGTGTTATGACATCATTCTACCATGTGAGACTTTGCTTCCATTCATTATTGCATTTTACACGTCGGAAACCACGATTGCAGCCGCGCTAGTATTTGAGGATCTATATTTTATTCTGGAGGCTAAAAATAGCACATAATCTGCCAGACAGTGCAGAGGGCTCAGTGCTCCACGCCTCCACCGTCTTCCTTATCACGTCAATGACACCGGCTTACTCACCCCGCGATCATCAAGCCTGGATTACGGCCATCTTCTAAATTACTTTTTGGAGACAAATCTATTCTTCAATCTCAGGCAGATGGCCATCTGGCCGACTGTAATCGTCCCCCCTTCCCTCGTCTCCTTGTGACCATGTCGTCAAACAGATGTTGAACTGCTTCAGACCGGCTGATTACTAAGACAGCCAGTCAAACAACTTCCACTCCAACCATCCATTTAGGAATCCTTGCAACCTGTTTCCTGTCAAATGTGGACTTCAATAAACCATTACCACCAGCTGGTAAATCAAAATGAAGGGTGGGGTTGCTGCCTGAACAATTGTGCTTTAACATGATATTTCACCAAGTGTTGCTCTATAAATATATAACTCCTGTATATATATATATTAAAATAAGTCTCATATGTTACACAACCCTGACACCAAACGTATCAACAAAAACACTAACAAACAAAATCAAACAGGCTGATTTAAAAAGACATAGTTTGGGAAAAAGAATAAAAGAATTGTTCAAGAATGAGTTGAGACTCAAAGTGGAAACGCTTTTAAACACAAAATTAATGTTAACCTGTTTTTTTAAATGAACGAAGGACTTGCTTGTGCCTCATATGCCCCCATTACATAAGCGCTCCTGCCATCAATCAGCAGCCACATTAATAACCACCACAGCTGGAGAGACAAAATGCAGCAAAAAAAGGTCTCGGGTTCAAGTTCAAATGACAAACCAGCAAAAACAGAGACAGAAGGATGGAAAACAAAAGGATTTCTGTGGACAAACAGCTTAGTTTTGACCTGTCTTGGGTCCGGTACAGGTCTGCTCAGTTCAGGTGGGGACAGACTCCATTCTTAATCTCTGTCCCACTGAGGAAAAAATCTTCTCACGTCAACTTAGGTTTCCAGGGTTGGGAAAGCAGCAGAGATGCAACAGCAGGTTTTTTTTGGGAGGCTGGATTACAGACACATTCTGTAGCAAGGCACTTGTTCTGGTCAAAAAGAAGGTGGGTGAGAAAGAACGGGGACAAAAAGGGTCCTGAGTGAGAGCATTATGCTGTAGAGTCCTCCTCTCTACGGAGGGTAAGGCTTACTCCGGACAAAGAGGTCCAGCAGGACGGCAGCAGCAGGAGTGGGGTCAGCTCACAGCATTCAGCCCCGGCAGGGTCCGCAGACATGGGGGTGTAGTCAGAGTAACGCACTCCCCTCTGTCCTGAAGGATTCTCAGGCGCTGACTAAGCGACACTCTCGCTGAAACTGAAGCAAACACAAACAAGAGTCAGTGGCTGGAATCATGGGCCTTAAGAACTGATGTGATTGATGATATTGAACTAAAAACAAGAATAACTCCACATACACTCTACCTAAATTAACTGGTGACTCTAAACTGCCCGTAGGTGTGTGGATGTGAGTGTGGATGATTGTCTGTCTCTATATGTCAGCCCTGTGATGGACTGGCAAAGACTCCAGGGTGAACCAATGATAGCTAGGATCGGCTCCAGCCCCCCAGGACCCCGAACAGGAAAAGCGGTGAAGATAATGGATGGATGGACACTCTACCTGACAGGAAATGTATGTCTACAGGAATGTAGACATGAGACACAGTGCAGACCCAGCTGTTACAATCAAGATACTTTACTAGTAGTTGCCTTTATACATTTCATTTCTAGTCACGGTGATTTTTGATTCTGTTTTTTCAAAGACACACCCGAAAAGAGAGCTACATAGCTTTGTAAAGTGTCTTTATTCACTAAACTAAACTGCCCTGGACCATAATTCAGAATAAAAACATTGCGTGAAAGTGCAACGATATTCTCAACACGGAAAAAAACACATCAGGCTGTTACTTCGACAAACATACCAGTAGTGTTTCCATTTTCATTTCATGCAATGGACTTTATTCTTCAGATGTTTATCATGTCGGCTTCATGTTGTTTGTCAGACTTCGGCACATACCCGTTGGAGTGTGAGCCGTTGTTCACCGTCTCCAGAGAGAACTACGCTCAAATATCGTTCATGAGTTGAAAATTAAAGGTTCAGTTCACCGAAAATATGACCGCATTAAATAAACCACATCATTTAACGCGTTCAGGCACAACACTGTTTTAATGTATATGTATTTAAATTTGTGTGGGTACAATCATAATCGTTGTGATATTTTCTTCATTGATATGTACTCATAAAACACTCAACACACTTTATGTCTATAAAAGGACAAAAAACATAGAAACATTGAAAACATAGTTACTATATTACTTCACAACAGTAGAATCCAGGATAATAGACTAATAAGGGTCAAAGGTTAAGAACAAACTGAACAATTGTTATATATATATTAATATAGAAGACTGAACAAAAGCATCATTAGACCGACCCAGTCCGTCATTTGTTAGGTAAAAGGACATAAATGTGCTTTTTTAAATGAGATGATAAAAAGGATAAAAAGGAGGTTAGCCATCAGAAAGTCTTTCAGGAGTGATGGCGCCCTGATAGATGAAGGCCTGCTTGCCACCCGGTTTCAATCTACATATATGAATTTCTAAAAGAAACCATTTGGAGGATCTTAAGCTTCACTACAAAGAGATAAAACATCTATTGATGTACTCAGGGGCCAGTCCCATCAGTGCCTTAAATGTGATGACTAAAACACTAAAATTTACTCTAAAATGAGTGCCTGGTTAGTGTCATGACAGTTAAATTGGGGTTATGTTTACTCTTTTGTCGGTATAATTGAGGGGTCCTGCTGCAGCATTTTAAATTAACTGAAGGCTGGAAAGGTTATGTTTGCACATGGATGAGTAGAGTGAGTTAAATTAGTCCAAACAGAACGTGATGATGACTGTGTCAGTTTTGGGTTCTTTAGATTCAGAGAGGAGTGAATCAAAACGATTAGTGAAGGTTAAATATTCAGCTCAGGAAAGGTTGTTTATTATGCTTTTGTTTTATTTTGTACTGGATAAAGCTAAGGCTACATTACTTCCTGTTTGGATGAAGACTAGCTTTTATTTTGAAAGAGGAAAAAAGGAACTTCCGGTTTAACAAAAGTTGGAATGTTTTCCTTGTTTATTTTTTGCCATTTTAGCCTTTATTGGATAGGACAGCTAAAGAGAGACCAGAAATGTTGGGAAGAGAGAGCATTGGGGATGACGTGCAGCAAAGGACCAAGGTCGGATTCAAACCCACGGCTGATGCAACGAGGACTACAATGGGCGCGCAACATAACCGCCAGTCCACCGCAACCCCAGTTGTGACCGTGTCTTAACTAAGCAAAAAACCTAACATGCTATAGATAAAAAAAATGAAAGTAATAAGTGAAAGTGTTTGACCCAAAGCTACCCACTTAAGAAGCATTACGCTCCTATGGGGGTTTATTTGTTTACTAGGTTTCTGTGCTTTGATTTAAACCATAACATCTTCAGTTCAAAAGTCCAACCATCTTTAGGGACGGATGCTACAGACAGAACAAACCTTTGGTTATACAAGGTATTTGTAAAGAAATAAGGAAACTTCTATTTTTAATTAAAAAAACAATAAAACCAAACGTATACATCTGCTTTAAGCTAACATTGTTGATGATTTCTAAGTATTGCTCTGCACAAGGACTTGTGAAATACATGAAAACACTCCAAGCTGAGTAAATCTTTCTAACTGAGATGTACATCAGTCACTAAAGTGTATGATTCATTTTAAAGTTCATGGTATCGGAGCAATTCATTTGGAAAGCAATTCATACCACGGTGTACTTTATATTTGCATCGTTTATGTCCCGGTATGGCCGCGGATAGAACAACTTTATGAAACAAACATATTCTACTCAGAACCTCCGACATAGCAGCCATAGTCACATATGAAAGACACATTATCTAAGACTCAACAAACATTTTATCCTGACTTGACTTACGACCTCATTACAGGGAAAATGGAACTCTGAATTATGAACTATTGTAACTTCAATATTTGAAAAGACCTCAAAGAAGATATCCCAGGTCAAAGTCCCCATGAATAAGGCATTGGACGTTCAAATACATTAATAATAAATAGAGAGTTCTAACATGAAAGGCATAAAGACAAACTCTGATCTATATTTGTAAAACCTATAATTTGAATTTCTCTTGAACAAGAACTGAAGAACTGCTCACAGAATGCCCTGATACTTTCATTTACTGGGTATTTTACATGAATTTTCCTGGAGTCCTGCGCTGATGACCCCAAAGCAAAGCTAACACTCTCTTAAACACTGCTGCCGGGTTCCCTGTCTGCTTTATTAATCACTATGGAAGAGAAGAAAGAAAAGTAACTGCCTGCAAGGATTGAGCTTGATTATAATTTGAATTTAAATTGAATCTTTTGTTGCTATAAGGGCTTCTCGGCTCTCTCCTGGTACCTTATAATTTAAAGTACAAAAAGAGAACAATAGCCGTACAAAATGAATTTGATTCACTGGCAGACACTTACTGGTACATTTTTCTTGTGTCAGAGTAAAAGTTTTAATAAGTTCTGAAAAATGTGTCAAGCTCCAAAGAGAAGCCAAACGATTCCTCAAACATGCAAGAATGTGATTTTTTAAGATTTTGTGTTTCGTATTTTCCCCCCAAAAAACTACATTCATCATGCAAAAGCAACAACAACAACAACACTCTTCTTTTCCTCCACTGTCATGAAGAAAACGATTATTAAGCATGACCCAGCATGTTTGGAAGAGTTCTCCAAATTAGCAGGAGAAAGAAAATGTTCAGCTAATTTTTACTCAAGGGCCTGGTGGTTTTTTCCACACCATGAGGTGAAATACAAAACAACAAAGGTTGAATAGGATTCATAAAGTACTCACTGAGAGACAGGCAGACAGACGTGGAGGTCCACGGCAATCGTTTTACCTCCTAGTGTTGCTGCTAAAAGACGACTGAGGGCTTTTAAAGTTTATGTTCTCGTACACACTTGACGAATCATCATTTGTCATCCTGAAAAAAAACACAAAGAGAAAATCATTCACAACTTGACTTTTTCTGTTATACTTTGTTGTTTACATATCTAAAAGTAATGCCACTGTATTATCCTGTTATACTCACATAGAAGAAGAGCGTGATGATGTCATGTTTGATTTGGACCTAGAGTTGGTCATCTGGGGATATTTGATATTGGAATATTCTCTTTCCTGCAGCTTACTCCTCTGCAAAGACACAACATAATATTCATTTGTTTTATTGGCCATAACAAAATACGCTGTGTTTAAGACCTACAGTGAATTCAACTTAAAGACCCAGATGGCCTCCATATTCAGAATTAAGCTAGCAGTTAAGGGGTGCCGGTAACCCAGAGGCTATAGTCCTCCAAGCTGGTGGCCGGGGTTTGAATCCGAGCTGTGGCTCCGCATGTCATTCCCTCACCTCTCTCCCCCTGATTTCCAACTCTATCCACTGTCTTATCTCTACAACAAAGGCATAAAAAGCCCCAAAACTAAATAAAAAAAATAAAAAGATAGCATTTCAGAAATTTAGGTTGTGTTCACAAGAACAGCCAAGGAGCTTATTATTTTTGTGGTGCACTGTCATGCATTATCAATGCAAAGACGTGATTAGATTTTTCTTGTATTCTGTAACATGAATTACAAGACTCGCCACTCTTGTTCTTTTTAACTTTACTAAAAAAATCGTGAAATGCTTTGTTGAAAATGCCATCATTGTAGAGATTCTCCTAATTTCCTGAGCTTGCATAAGAAATGGTTGAACCGAACTGTTAAAAATAAAAGGTTGCTTGACTCTTCTCGGGGACACAATGTGGAAGAATTAATTCAGAGTCTTTAATCATCGGCCACATAAGCAATCTATTACAGCATCTTTTCAACCCAATTATTTTAATGAATCTCACAAACAGTGCTTATTTGGCTTCATAGCAGCAGTGAGCCAGATCTCTGCAGACGTCTGACTCTCTACATACAATGACACATTCACCAGAGACAGAGAGACAGTTGGGACATTCTGACAGTAGGTTGTCTATCTGAGAAGTAGTTAAATAGCTGAGATAGTTGTCATGCTGTTATTTTCCTCACTACACTGGCTGCCATTACATTACTCACCACACTGCCTCTAGGCTATAAGCTCAAACGTGTTACATAATTATACTCAAGCCTTCACGTCTGTGTCAAAGTGATTTGATGGAGCATTTTAGGAATCGTTAGTAACTTTGACTCTTGTTAATATAAAGTACCTGCTCCTCCTCCAGTCTCTTCTGGGCGGTGTCTATGTACTGCTGTACGGCCATGTAGATGAACTTATACTGAGCCTCCGTCTGCACCATGCCCGACCTCTGCTGCCGCACTCTCTGGATGGTCTTGGGGATGTCTATGTCACAATCTAAACCTAGAGAACACACATATGCACACAAAACAAGGGAATTAGCCAGTGTATCAAAATCTATGTTTACATCAATTCGATTAAAATCAGTCCGATTTGGGATTCCAACTTCTCTGTTTACATGGACACTGAATAAAGTGATACGATAATGATGTGAAACCATTTCGACATGAGCGAAGTCATCCTGTCGGTCTAATCCGCTCGAAATAGCAGCAAAATAAGCGTCTCCTTCCTGTTAACATGGAAAAATGTGCTCTAACTTGTGTGAGAAATTGATTCCTGTTATTTGATACATCAGGTAAGAGTTTCTGTCAATGGTTTCACTCAAGTTTTTTTCAGAGTTAGATTTCAATTTCAAGCAGAACTCAATCCCTGCTGTGAGTGTGTTCCTTTATTAATATTTACAGTCGAGTTTCTGGTAAGCACACCAGAGTTGCCGTGTAAGTTGACTCCGCTCGTGGTGTAAGTATAAACCACCTGTGTAGCTGGGACTGACGTTTCTTTCCGAATGAGCCGGATTGGATCAGTCTCTTCAGATTGACTTGTTTATATGAAGTACTTGTATTCAGGCTTTTTTACTCTGATAACTTGTGCCGATGTAAACATAGCTAGTTTCATATCTTGATCTCCCACCTTGGCGGTTAATGACGTCAATAAGGATGTCGACGACGATAATGGTGCCTGTCCTGCCGATGCCTGCACTGCAGAAAGAACAGAAAGAAAATTCAAGCTATGAGTGCTTATAATAACATGAATGTGTTCAATTAAATAGATTTGATCCTATCAAGTGAGTCATTTAATAAAGGGCTTTAAGTTTTCATAACCCTTGGGGCGCGCTGGTGGCGCAATGGTTAGGGCGCGCTTCCCATGTGTTGAGACTCTCGTCTCGAGCGGTAGGCCCGGGCTCACTTCCACCTGTGGCCCCTTTCCGCATGTCATTCCCTGCTCTCTCTCCCTGGTTTCCGACTCTATCCACTGTCCTCTCTGTGCATTAAAGGCCAAAAATAAATCTAAAAAAAAAAAGTTTTCATAACCCTCACAAGACATCTCAAATCTCTGCTTGTGAATTATAGACTTGAGCTTCAGTTCTTTGTTGTGTATTTTTTACAATGGTGTAAGATCTCAAAGGTCTGTTATTTCCCCCAAAAGTAGCCTTATTTTATCAGCAGCCATCTGATCAGTAAAGTGAGTCAGATGTGCTCTCTTAGTCAGTCCTCATGTTTATAGAACATGTGGGGGTGGCTGTGCATGGTCAAATACAGGAAGCAAAACAAACGGACAAATTATATATAAACAAAATGACCTTCTCTTTATGGATGTGTTTGAAGGCTATCTCCTGTCTAACATTAGACAAATGCATCTATGCAACGCACCATGTTATTTTTCCCTGCTATAAAACCCATTTTAATGAAATACATTTCTTTGTCTTATTAAAATGAGTGTAGGGTCTTCTGGCTGTGCTGACACTGGCTGCTTTGTACATAAAACACATCAGAGTAGATAAAGTGTGTCGAGTAATAGTTCATTGGCAAAATAACAAGTTCATCTAAAACTGAATACAGCTAAAAGTAGTAACATGAAAGTGCAAACATGGGCATTTATATGTTTTATATTAACTATTACCTGGTATTTGAAAGGGACAGCTGAACCATAGGGCACACATTTAATTATAGCGCACTCAAGTGGCCATTTTCATAACTTTTAATTTGGTTTCTGATGTCAAAAGCTTTTTCATCTCATGGGGAATGAAGTGAACATGGAGCAGTGAGTGATACAGGAGTTAATCCCAACTAGAGGAGACCCATGTTATGACGGAAAGGGTGTATGAACATATCTCTGATTCTGAATCTATGGGAGACTGAATTTTAAAGTAACATGTTTGAACTTACAGGAACCACATTATCACATTATTCTCTCATATTTGCATCCTATTCTGCCCTCGAAAGTGGCCAACTAACACACTGAAATTGTCTTCACCAGAGTATTTGTATGTCTTCATTCAGAATCTGTTATCTTCTGATGTAGAACTCATCACTTATTCTCTACCTGACCTCCGCCTCCCTACATTGACCATAAAGACAAATTACATCTTCATCTTGTTGCACATCTTATACCTGCAGTGGACAACGATCGGTCCGGTGTCTGGAATGCTGCTCTGAGTGCGGTTCACTTCCTCCAGGAACCAGAGGACCCCTCCCGGTTCATTTGGTACACCGTGGTCCGGCCAGCTCAGGTACTGATAATGCCAGATATACCTCAGAGGCTCCCTCTGCAGGAAAATGACAGCAAGAGGAAGATAATTGTAAACCTTTATCTGTTTTAAAAGCATTTTTATACTTAAAATGAATACTTTTGATGCATTTTTTCTAGAGTGGTCATTAAAAGACAAGAGCCCAGTGTGAAAAATGGGGGACAAAATAAACAATCATAAGCAAGGACTATATTTAACGTAACATACCATTTCACATATAGCTTTTTTAGTTCGGTTTAATTAGTGAGCATCGATACTTTGATCACAGTAGTCTGTGTATATACTGTACGAGCCACGGCAAAGAGTTTACATATTTTTTACTTTATCCTCCTTATTTTTAACTCTTTAACTTCTTATAATTTATGATTAGTTTTGTTGCAGGAATCTCAAAAGTCATGATGTGTTTTTTTTTTTTTTTTTTTTTACGATCTGCCACTCAGTCAGCCTCTCATAAGCTTACACACGTGCAGTACGAGTGTGTGTGTGTGTGTGGGTCTGTGTAACGGGGTTAGATAATCAGATCCCAAGTCAGTGGGTCAGATCTCATTGAGGACACAGCTTTCCCTACCCGGTCCAGACGGGTCACCTCCAGCTTCCTCAGGATGTAATCCTGAGCCGGTCTCTCGTCCACATTTCTTACCAGCACCTTCCCAAACTCCTTGGTGCCGTGGATGTCAGGCCAGTAACGGACACATTTGTTCTAGATGAGAGGAAAAACAGAGAGAGAGAGAGAGAGGGATGAAGGGAAATGGATGGGAGGGGGGGATGGTGAGTATTAGACAATCGAAAGAACCAGCTCATCACAAGCAGCTTTCCAATCAGCTTAACTGTCATACTATCGTAGTCAGCTGTCTCCCTCCCCACCCCCACACCTTACACACTCATCCACACCCTCGTCATCCCTACCACACATATCCACGCCTCTCTCTCTTAGAAACAACTAATGCCATCAAACACAGTCTTTGAACTGAAACTGCAACTTCAAAATGTTGACTTCCAGTTAAAGCACTGGAGATTAGTTAGAGTTAATACCAGGACTTATCATTTAAATTGAGACATTTTGGTGTCTCAAACTTCAAGGACTTTCCATGTCCTCTGAGTTCTTCTCATCAGGGCTGGAAAGTTCACAAAAAAACACCTGGCGATCTATATAGATCACATTTGATCAGATTTGATTTAGCTCATCCTAAGACTATAAAACGTTCCACCTCTCGTGATTTGTTTTCTTTTCTCCTGAAAAGCTAAACCTGGCCATTAATGGACCTTGGAGGTTATTTCAAGTTAAGTAGTGTAATGGTTTTTCTGTAATATTTGATGTTTATGATGTAGGGCTTTTGTAGATTACCATCATTACAAGCAATCGACAGCATGCAACCCAAAGGAGTGCAGCAAGGACACAGTACAGAAACCATTCAGGAGTTAGAGTGGGAGAAGGAAAAAGAGCTGGTGAGAGAAATTGAAGCTTTTTTCTTTGAAATTATATTATATAGTTAGAGAAAGATAATCAGAGGCAATCACAATATCATAAACTGGTCTAACTATACGACCATTCATTTGAAGTATGTTTAATGCTAAATGCTCACCCGTCCTCGCTCCACCTCCTTCGTGGTCATGACGATGACATGTGTATTCTCCTGATAAACCATCTTCCAGAAGTCGATGACTGTGTTCTGTAGGCATCCTTGGGTGGCAATGAAGACTTTGCCTTCTTCCACGTGGCGCCCCTCTTCATGCATACTCTGTAGAGAGTGGATATTAATAACTGAATTAAACATTTGGACACAGAGGCTATACATTTATATTTACAAAGAATATCTAACTATGTAACTTGAGTTTCTTGATGATAAAGTTCAATATACAAACAGTGTTGTAGATCCATGTATACACAGGTGTATGGGGAAATCCTCATGTTTTTTTAAACATTGTGTAAACCCACTTAAAACCTTCTGATTGTTCAAAGAGACTTTTTGGGCTTACAGCTAGAGAAGGGCATCATGGGAAGTTGTCTTAACTTTTGACTAATTTTATTTCTTCAATCAGCTTTATTTTTTATTCACACAGTACCAAATATAAAATGATCTTATGACATTATACTACGATCTACTATTGAGAAGAATCAGACTCTTGACTGCCTTCTGCCTTTGGATCCTTACTGACTGAAGTCAAGCAACAGGAATTCAGTGTAAATGTGAAAATGTATGTGTGGCCCATTTTTTGTGAACTTCATAAGCAAGACTTCTCTTAGGTCTATATCTGGTTATATCACTGGACATTATCCTTTGCTGATAGGCTTCTTTAAAAAATAGGTATACCTAGTGCCATAGTCCACACTAAACCACTGTTTTAAGATCGAAAGTAAAATTAATTTACTAAAGATTCAAATAAAGACTAAAATAAAGAAATTATTAAAATATTGCACGTTAAGTGTGTGTGAAGTTTTTTTTTATATTCTAAGTGTACAGTTTGTACTGTTTGATAAAAGCTTCACCATAGACTTTAACCACATGCACTCTCTTCCACTAAAGGTTAAGTTTGTATTATAATGGCTAAATGTTTTGTATTTCTGCTTCTTTTTTAAAGTACATTTAGTTATTGTGGCCTTATATAACTTTGAACACTCACTCGGATGTAGTTTGCATTGATGTAGTCTGCACCAGGAACTTCTGGATCTGCTTCCACGATTTCAACCCGAGTCGTGTCAACTGAAAAAATGATCAAAGTCAAGCAGTCATGAATGTACAATGAAACAGTTTCCTGAGATCACACATGATGATTTTTTTTTTTTTTTAATGTCAACTGATTGCTGTGAGCTATCGGAGAAAAAGTTGATATGCTCTGCTGAAGCCTGTGTGGTGTCTGTTGTCTATTTGTGTCATTCTTTCCACAGGAAAGAGAGACAGGAAATGGCAGGTTGCTGTGTGCGACTCACAGGGGAGGATATTCTTGTATCTGTTTTTACTCTTGTTTTCTGGCTTCTGGCCTTCTTTCCGGGGATACAGCAGTTTGCACTCCTGCTGCTGAAGTACCTGGTAAATGAGAAAAGAGTTCCAGGAAGTTACAAACAGGAAAAACAGAGTGGCATTATGGGGATTATTCTCTAGGGATGATGCATTCATATCAGCTATAATCAGGTTTAAACTTTTAGATTTGACTTAAAGTTTCCTGCATGTAAGACAGTTCTAGAAGCTCTTTGAGGCAGTACTTCACTTACTTACACCTTTTTGTTTGCCTTGTGTGAGTGACAATTGTTAACACGTCTTCGTTGATCCAACAGAGGCAGATATGAACAAAATATTGCACCGACAAAAAAGTGATAAAAACACTGCAAGATGATAAACAAGGATGTACGAAAAAAAAATGTAGACCTCAGGGATCTCTGCATTTACACAATTTAAAACATGACAGTGCAATGAGCCTCTATTACACTAGGGGTCACCCTGGGGTGTTTTCACAGGAATACATTTGTAAGGTAGTAGACCTAAGAGGAAGCATTTCAGCGTGACGTTTCCTTAAATACTACCACAGCTAAAAAGAGTGACACTTTTGGATAAAATATGTCAAGCAGTAAAAGCACTTATATACAAGTCTTAGGCTGTGATAAATTCTCTGCCATAAATACAATGTCAGACGGACCTGTTGAGATCTGAAAAGCACTATTCCCAAAATTTACAACCAAATAACTCACATTGTGTAACTCATCTAGAACACAGCATAAAGTATTAATGTTGTTAATTTTAATATGTCACCCCTTATCACAAAAAAGTTGCAGCATTTGCAGGTAAGTAAAATATGAAGACGTCATCTTTATAAAGACTTCAGCTAATCTCACAAAATGGTCATAGATCAGAAGTTACGATTCAGTAGTCAAATAAACATTTAAGAAAACGTGTATTTGGCCACTAAAGAACAGATAATTAATCTCTAATATGTTTTGAAACAATGGAATTTTCTGATCTTTATTGCCTGTCAGCTGCTTGAAAATAACAAAAGCCAGGGACATAAGTGAATACCACAGGATACATCCCAACAAACATTCATGCTCGAAGGTTAAGACAGCATAAATGCATTTGATTGATAAGATAACAAATTATTAACTGAAAAACTACAAATGTAATGCCACACAAATATTAAAAATCATGAAACAAACCCTTGTTCATTTTAAATAGAAAATAACTCTCAAAGTTAGTATTGAAAGCTAGGTATTACAACATTATTCTAGTCACAAAACATTCTTGTAATCTGTCCCCAGTGTGCGTCTTGAAACCGGGAAAAGGAGTTTCAGGTACGCTGCTCCTGCAGCCTGGAGGATTTGTTTCTGGAGGAGCTGGTCTCTTTAAATCTTTTTAAAAGTGGATTAAAGGCGTTGGAGGAAGATGCGTCAGGTTGTAGAAGCTTTGACGGATGACTTTCTGCATTGTGACTCAGGATATGTTGATCTGTGTTTGTAATTGCTCTGTGTTTTACGTCTGTAACTTGTTTAATGTGCCGCTGCCTGTCTTGACCAGGACACTCCTGAGATTCTTAATCTCAAAAAGGTTTTCCTGTGCACAATAGTAAAGACTGCACTCAAAGTTGACTTTCTCCATTTATTTTTTACACCTACAGTGCAAGGTATCCAACTCTTAATTTAGACCATGTTTCAGTAAACATTTACATAAAAAAAATCAAACACAGAGCCTTTAAAATGATTAAAAAAAAAAAATAATAATAATAATAATAATAATAATAGATATAGATTTATCCTGTCCATTAAAAAATGAAGTTTGAAAGGAATAATTATGACAGCTTTCAGTCTACCTACCTCAAATTCTTCCCAGAATCCTTGTTTGGGTTTCTCAGAGTTGTCTGCTACTTTGTTGAGCTCTCGTACCCGATTCTCAATGTTGGCTGCATTTATCCTTGTGGCGTTAAAGGGCTGAGGTCGTCATGTGTGGACAGGAAAATCAGATTAGTCAACATGTCTATAGAGGGTGTTTTCTCATTTTCATGCTGTTAATATAACTGGCATATTACAACACTAGCAATAGCTTTGCATATGCGTATGTTGTGCACACAAAATGTTTAGGATTTTTTTTGTTGTTGGGTAAACTATTCTTCCATACCTGTTTGAGGTGCACTACGATGCCACTTTTCTCCACCATGGGGTTCTTCTTGTAATGATCCACCAGGTCAGCCAGAGTGTCAAACCTCTCACCGCCGCCCACATCATATTTACCGTCCTGCTGGGGACAACATAAACAGTTTAACTAAAGGAATAGCCGGTGTGAGGAGTTCTTAAGAGTCATAAAATGAATCATGAGTTTCCAAAGATACAATTATTCTCTGACTTGAAGCTTCAACAGTATGCTCAGGTAATTTTAAAGATGAATTTAGGCATTATATACTTCTTTATATTTACCAGTTCTGACCTGTGTAACCTCACCTGGTAGCGTATCATAACGTGGGTGACCTTTGTCTTTCGGTCCAAATTCTCATGTTTCTCCTCGTTGGTGAGAACTGAAAGTACAAAGTCGCCTGGTTTACTCTGGCTCTCCCGCACTAGGAAGCTACCGGCTTTGCCTTTCTCTGTGAGCAGCTTCTCTGCATCCCTCCCTGAGAGGTGCCCGTGATACCACCTGGAGACCAAAGAGAATTCACTGACACATTTTCTCAAAGTGATGTGCTGGACATTTAGGGTCAGAGCTTTTTATCTATGGTCAATACAAAAAGCAAAGTAAAAACATGAGTCACACAAAATCTGTTAAAAGAGAAACAATGTTGTGTCATAAAATCATTCGTCCTATTGGGAGGTTAAGACATCAAAATCTCTTACTGCTATTTCAATTACTTTCACAGATTAATTGAACACTGACAGGTGAGCAATTAGCATCAAACTTAACAGGCTAAATGATATTAGAAAAAAATGGAGCTTGTGATATTTCTTCAACATAATTTCTACATAAAATATTGCGATTAAAAAAAAGAGATGGAAAGTATATAAATGCAGTGCCTTTTTATTTACATCAATTAATTTAAATCAAACAATTATACTTTATATTTTTTAGGCCTTAAAGAAATGTTCTGATTTCAAATCTAACCCCCTCCTACTTTCATCACATACTGGGTCAAGCCCTTCGACAGCAACTCTCACACATACACAGCGAGTAGGAGGAGGAAAGGTGGAGGGAGAACAGGTGCAGCGTCACATTTCTAAATCAACTTTACAATCAAACTAACCGCTTTCCATTACTTAGAAGTACTCCACCATTTCTAACGATGATCAAAGTTACATTTAATCTACAGTCTTGAGCTGCATGGGACTCATGCAACACTTTACCCTGTACGCTGTAGGTGTAGCAGCCAAACGTGAACAATCAGCTGCAAATCCACTGTTATTTAGCGTCTGCCTCGAGAGTCATGTCCGTGTATCTATCAGAGCAGCAGTGTCGCATGTAGCTTATGCATTCTTACAAGCAGGGAACACACAGACTGCATGCACAGTGGTCAGGTTAGTGACTGTTGATTGTGACATCAGACAGACATTTACTGTATGGGAAAGGCAAAACTGTTGGTTTTGGTTTGCATCAAACAACACAAAAGAGGCAACATGACGTGCTTCAAGTCATTTGATGTGGCTAATGCGCATGCACACATAGCCTTGTTTCAAGACCTTTGGAAAGCTAAAGGGCATTGTGCGTCATCCTGAGAACATCATCCTGAAACCTTTTCTTAGCATCTGGACAAATGTAATTGTTTTGAATTAGCTTTACTAGTTTTAAGATATATTTCCTAAACATATAGCAGTCTTTCTTGAAAACAGAACAAGCACATGCAAAATGTAAGTATCCTTTGCCTTCATTTTGAGAAAACAATCTTTAAACTTTCCTTGTGCCAGACAAATAAAACTATTCTTAGTCTGGATGCACTTGTTCTTTGAAACTTTTTGTTTTAAAATCTTTTTTTGAAAGTGCAACATTTTCACATAGTGTCACCTCCTTCTACAACTGTCATGTTGAGGAAGAAGCTCAGTCTCCTACTTGATGCTGTATCTAGGTCAAAAAACTAATGAGACAAGTGACAAGAGTTGAGAATGAAACTTGTCAAACTGAAGAGGAGGACAGGCAACATGCTTCCTCCCTCAAGGGAAGAAGGCAAAGAGTGTAACTATAGGGTTTTATATAGTGTCTATCTATATGAACTGTACATTGTGAGCCCAGACTCCTACTCAAGAATTAAAGTGTCTCTCACGTAGCTGCACCCAGTTGCTGATGATAACATAAAAAACCTGCATGTGTGCGTTTTTTTATTTTTTATCTGGTGTGGTGAGGACGAGCGTGTAGGAGGCTCTGACAAGAGACGTATATGTAGAATGGAAAAACCACACGAGCCAAAACCACAGAACACAAGTTGTTCTTAGACCAAAACAGAAACTGAGATATAAACAACAAAATGTGTGTGTAGAAAGATGTTGTACATAACACCCTCAGAAAGGGATAACACCAAACACAGCTGGAAAGTGATTATTTAAACATCAGAATTTTATGAGCATGTAGCTCTCCAAAATGCTTCCTGTATGCGTGTGAGTGCATGCATGGATTCCTGGCAGGGGCTCTTGTCTCCCATTTCAGCGATGTGTGTAGGTGTGATAAAGTGTATGGCTGTTTGAAACCTGTGCATACTCTCTGGAGAGCGTTACATGTAGATACTTGGTGCACATAAACAAAAACAGCAACACCGCCCACTAAGCTTGTTTCAAGTTGCATTTGGGAATATACAACTATTTATGCAAGTGGATAAGAAATGCATCTGAATTTAGTGTGTGTGTGTGTGTGTGTGTGTGTGTGTGTGTGTGTGTGTGTGTGTGTGTGTGTGTGTGTGTGTGTGTGTGTGTGTGTGTGTGTATTAAGACAAAATAATGTACACTCTCTACCACAGTGTCAACACGTGCACCGGGTCCTACTTACCTGTTGTAAACTTTTGAAAATCCTATTTAAATCCTTAAATGAAGTTTTTATTTGCTGTTGAGAAATTACATTACCTTAAATATTTAATATATAAGAGTTTAAAATCAGAATTTCATACTTGTAGCGGGACTTGTCGTGGCTGCCGCCATGACAGAGCCGCCATTACAGATATGACATTTTTATCGTTGCCGCAGAATGATTTTTTGTTGTTGAGTACTTTCATTCCTTTAAATATAACAGTTATGTAAGCCAGAGAAATCTGTAATGGAAAAACAAACTGGATGTTTGATGGCGCTGTTGGAGACCCAAACCCAGCACAAATGTACATTAACCATAAAATGTCCTTTAAAGCTAATTCATTATTTAAGAAATAAATAAAAAATATATGGTAGAATTTACTAAGGCAGATTTGATAACCTTTAATTTTCAAAAAATGTATCATCCAAATCCATGTTAAAGGTTCAAAGAAATCCTTTCATGACTCTAGGGAGATCTGATCTCACTTTCTGTTACACTGACGACAAATAACCTTCTGAATTATTAACTAGTGTTAGGACAAATAAGTTGGTTCTATATTACCCACCACAGTACACATAAAGCTCTGACATAAGTAGTGATCCCATGCAGACTTGAATTGTAACTCTTCAGTGAGATTAAAATTTCCCCTTGAGGATCAATATGCTGGAAAAGCAGAATTTATACCCATATTATTATTTGTTAAAATTCTCATGCTTTAAAATAATTTGAAAAAATATCTTGCAGAGTATGTTGTCCTCTGCAGGGTGAAAATGCCTCAGAAACAGCATTAAGTCCACTACAGGATACTGTAGCTGCAGAGAAATCTAGACTAATAACATCCTCAGGTGGTTTAGCTGCTTCTCATGGCAGGATGAGGTTTAACAATCTGACAGCCCTGACGCTGTAAGAATTCAAATAACCATCTGTGGTCAGGGAGAAAATTCAAGCAGTTTTAATGAGTTTAGCAACATATGGAGCCAACCGTAGCTAAACTTTATGTATATTTGTGTCTCTCTGCCTGAAGTTGTCCACATAGAAGCTGTATGCAATTGTTATCTTTTTTTGTATGTGTGGTGTGGGTGTAGTGTGCGACTTTGTCCGCACCTTTCGGAGGTGGGGTCCTTGCAGTTGAGTGGGTACTTGAGCTCGATGACATGGCCGTTCCTCTCGCGCAGGAGATCCTGTTGCTCGGTGTAATACTGCACCAGCTCGGCCAGGGTGGCAAACTTCTCACCTCCATACAGGTCGTAGTAGTCGCCTGAGTTCTGTATCTTAATGTGGGTCACCTCATCGTACCGCCTGAGTGTGAAAAAACACAGAACGTTAATTGTATCACTAGGTTAGTTATCATTCATATAACAGAAAAGATCACACTCAAAAAAACTAGCCTTTTTTCTTTTGGTCTTATTTTTCTCTTGAACACTTGCACCCTGCAGATATTCAAACTGTGAACACTAGCAGCCACCCACACACATGTTCATCCAGTATAAGCTCATACTTTATTCAAGACTGGACACACTTTGTCGCCCACACTCACTCACAGAGCATTAATGCATATACACCATAACATTTTCCAGCTTATCAAGCCATCTGTTCCCATATTTAGATATTTTCTTACTAACACGTTGTGGTGAACTCTTCTTTTTTTTTTTCCTGTTCATTTATTTCCCACACCAATCTGCCTTATTCTGTCGTTGATCATTATCTCTGCACACTGAGAATAAAAAGCTGAACAAATAACACTGAATAAAGAGTGTATGATATTTAATATTCAGAAAAAAAGCTTTGACTATTTGTGTCAACACTGGAGTAAAAAAAATAAGCCACAACCTATTACAGCAAAGAAAATTGCTAGAAAACCCCATGACACAGGTTTGAAAATACTAAGGAGTTTTATCAAACTGTGTTTTTCACTTTAACTGCCATTTGCATACAAACATAAATCTTCTCACAAGGGATCATCCCCATTTTTAATACATTGTAGTTTTCATATCTCATGTATTTGAGGGGGGGGGAGCTGCTTTGCACAAGCAGCTGCCCAGCTCAAAGACTGATAAGCCAGAAAACATTTGGTACCACTTTGCATATCCAAAGTCCTCTGTCTGCTTTGAATCGGTGTATACGAGTCTGGAAAAACACTGAATAGCGCACACACACATGCACATATAGTTCAACTCTGATATCTGTCTGCAAGCAAGTGAAGAAGCAGCTAAACAGCCCGAGTACCAAATCTACTTGTTTTCCTATTTTCCATCTGCAATAACTTCATCCGACATGTTTCTCCAGCAAAAATAAACAAAAACAAAAATCCAGTAAACCTATTAAATATGACACACACAAACATACAACTGAGTTTTGTGAACCACAGGGGAGGTAGCAAGGCAGTCAGTGCAGTCTGATCTGCGGGTTGAGATACAGTAGTCTCCCTCTTTTCCCCTGCAAACTGATTACAAGCTAATGGTCACATCTAATGGCTCAAATCCTATTACCTCCATCACTTTTCTTGTTGTCCTCACTAATTTCACATTCCTGTTTCTCCATTCTTTCCATCCTTGCACTCATACTGTAAATCCTCCCCCTTTTGTTCTTGTATTCATCTGTCCGCTAATCCATCACTCTCTTTCCCTGCATCCCTCTTTCCCAGTATTTCCGGGTAATTGCTTTATGGCTGTATAAGTGGATGTTGGCCGGGTGCCACAGGTCTTTGGCCCCGTTAAAGGGCCCTCCTCAACTGTCGGGCCAAAGCCCCTTTTCTCTCAGAATTTAAGACCATTAACTGTGGAATGAGTCACACATGGCCGCTCTGAAACAGCTTTGGATATTTTTTAAGTATTGACATTGTCAGTACCGAAACACTCAAAGGTCGACAGCATCATGTTTGCTCGACGATTGAAATCACTTTTTAAAACATTAATTTTTAAAAATTATTTCACTTGATTTCTGCTTTTTTCTCACATGATTTTGTGAAATTAAAAAATAAATTCTCACAACTCTTACTTACAACTTTTAGTGATAACTGAGCCGATGCTTTTAGAAATATTATTAGGCACAACAGCCCAACTGCTGAGTTATTCTTGTGACCAGCTTACCAATATAAGAGAGTCTGCTTCATTCTTCATCTATATCTGTATGTATAATGCAAGAGGTAATAGCAGAAAACTTAAATACAGTACATACTTATGAGAGGAAGATAGTGTTTCCTTTTAATGACCAAAGTTCAGTGCCGGTTTTCTCACCAATCCCATCATCAATCTCACCAGTTTTTGCAGATCAGGACACACCTGCTGTCACTCCTAACTGAGGTTGTTTAAATGAGCTGTCATGATGTTGAAGGTCAGATTTCTGACAGCAACAACAAACACAGCTTAAAGAAAACTTTAGAAATAGGTTGGAAATGAAAAGTCAAAGACTTATTTAGTTCAATACATTCAAGATTCATTGATCGGCTTGATATTCACAATAACAGTGTTCTTTCAATAGACTGTGTAAACCTATAAATAGCCTGGCTGAAGTGGAAACACATCTAAGTAAACCCAGGCTTGCAGAGGCCTGAGAAAACGCACTGAGGTAATTTGCTCAGCAAAATTCTCTCTAAAGATTGCCCTTAAAATTCTTCCTCAGGGTATTTAGAGTTTCTAAAGAGCATGAAAAATGAGAAAACTTGACCAGACTGCTCTCCTTATGGAGTTGGACTATAAATTAGGATGAAAACTTTTTCTTTGTAAAACTTTCTCTTTCTCTCTCTTTGAGCTTTGTGAAACTCCGAATTGATTACAATTTTCAAAACCCTCAAAAAGCTCTCATTAGCAGCTCAGGCTTCAGAGCAGCAGATCTGTTAGACCACTGCTTCTGCTGTTCACCTCGTGGGCCAGAGAAGAAGAGACGGGGTGGAGATAAGAGGAGGAGAGTCGGAGAGAGGAAGATAAGACAGAGAGAGAGGAGCAATGGACTCCCTCAGCGTCCATTACAATCTGAACATTGCCTATGACTTTCCTGTAGATAAAGGCCCGGGTAAGATGAAACCTGGCTAATGACTGGCTAATTAGCCTCTGCTCTGATAAGATACTTTGTGCCCATGTGTGCATGAGTGTGTGCGTTTGTGTATATAGGAAGAGAAATGGAGATTGCATTAGGTAGTATGATATGCTAGCTAAGAATAGCTTCATAGATAGAGGATAATTATGTACTTATCTTCATTACATTCTGTTACTTTTCTACATTTGACAGACTTTATTTAACTCAGTACAATAAGTGTCAATGTAGAAAGTTCAAGAATCGTCTGCAATGTAATTACTTACATTTTACACTTTTTAAATCTATAATTTCGCCCCGGTGGTAGTGAAGAGGAGCTGTAATATGTGTGTGTGGGGGGAGGGGGGTTTAACAAGTAGAGCCACAAACAGGTTCAGGACTTTTTGCCTCGTAGTTGACTCACTTTCCTAAGAAACAGGATATTGTCACAAGTTCACTGCTAAACCTTGTTGCCCCTCTGTCTCTTTTTAAGTTTTGACGATCCAGATTTTTTCCCTTTAAAAAGTTGTAAGGTTTTTCCTTTTGTGGTAAAACATAAATAACTTTTTGTGCTTAAATATTTATTTAGTGTTTATTTCTTAAAACTCATTGGTCGAAGAGGGTTCACCAGAGTTGATGTCTCCTCCTCTCCAAACAAACCTACCCAGGTAATAATAAGTACAGAAAAACCCTAACTAAACAATTTTTAAGTTGACAGTCTGTTTCTCTCAAATGCTCTTCAGCTGTGAGAGGATGCCAAAACTTCCACGGTTCATATACTGTACAGTAATTGACAACTTCTAAAATGATTAATAAGTAACTGACATAGAGCACTTAAAATGGGTACTGCAGTCCAAATTTAAAAAAATTGGAGATATTTATCTCCCCCTGTCCCCTGTTCCCTAGAGTCAATGCGCATGTGATTTGTGGACACTGAAGCTTCAGTGTTTATCCAGCTCTGCATCGGTCTGTAAACCTTTCTGTGTTCTAACCTCTCTCAATTGTTTTAAAAGCATCTCCAATATTGATCCTAGTTTGACCACGTTTCTGCTCCTGGTGCTTATTAGAGAAATGCTGAGGCTATTAAGGTCGAGTAGAATCAGTTCTGTCTGAACCAGCTCACGTGCCTGCTTCCATCGCTACAACACCTGTTGGTTTGCCGTGATAACTGCTCTCAAATCTGGCAAAATGAGGGGCATCCAAATTAGCTGTGTGGGGTTCCCTAAAAACTGACTACCTTGTCTGGTCATAAAAAAAACAGACCATTCAAGACTGGAAATTTAGAAGGACATACTGGCTGCTGCATTGTTGTCAGAGAAGCCAGCACTTCATCATGTTTTCTTAATGTCTGATGATACAGTAAGGTCATTTCATCATTTAATTTAGTACACATCTTAAATTGCTCCTTTAATACTTTTTGTCAACAAATGTGTCTTAAAATGTAAAGTGGGTTGTACTTTGTTGTATAACTCAAACATGATGCATAAAACAGCAGTCTAAAGTTTTGCTGTTTGACGATCTGATTAATCCATCCATAATCAGTAAAAAGTTAGCCAAGTGACTCATTATTGCCATAAACAACGTGGTGTTTGTTCACATGTTTGGGCCCTGAGTTAAGTAATTTAGCAAGGGTACATTTAATGTAAGAGTAAGAAAATTGGTTATGTCTCTTTTTTTTAAGGTTACACCCTCCTCCTTCCTCTTGGTTCAATGTGATTTACCTTCTCTAGCAGGTGCTGAGCCTCTGCACAGTGACCACTTGACCTCAGAGTGTGTATGTATGTTTAAGTCTGTCAAGACCACAAACTGTGGCTACAACTCCCCCCCACCAGCCTTCCTGTGGCTTGTGTTATTTATGACTTTCTGTACCAAATTTGCTCACCCACACACACACACTTAAACCACAGCAAGCGAAGGTCAAACCCTTAACAGGTCCCTCACTCTTCAACATTATTTAAAGCTACTGCATGTCTGTTTCCCTTTCCTGCTTTTGATTTTTTCTCTACAGTACCTCTCTGTGTGCATCTCTCTCTCAGACACACAAACACTATCTACCCATGCAAACATGCCAGCTTCAGCTGCAGTCACACAGAAACAAATGCTTTTGGGCCTCGTTCCAGGCGCTTGGCCGACTGATGTATCTCTTAAAAGCTTCCGTTGCCAAGGAAGAGCCACTCTATAAACTCTCTCTTCTTTGTCTCAGTTTTCCCCCTGCTCTCTGTGAGCAACACAACATGTCCTGCTGAGTCCTCCTTCCAAGAAATTTCAATAAAGAGATCAAGATAACTGTTTTAAGGCATTACTGTGGTTTCACAGGGTGTTAAAATCTGCTGTCTGACTCACCTTAAGGGGGGTACACACTACAAGATAATCAGACTGATTTGGGGCCTGGTTCCCCTCTTCCGACTAAAGTCAGCAAAGGGCCGATTATCTGATAGTGCCAAAGATTATCTTGCCAGATCTTCCTGTGTTGTGAGGTGTGTTAAGAGGGAGTTTACCATCCCAGATCTGTTTAAAAGATGATCGGGCCGCACCAATTTCAAATCGATAAGAAGCTGGAAGCACAACTAACAGCAAAGGCGGCAACAGCAAAAGCAATGCTTAAAGCTAGATGGACGTCAGAGATGGAGGACCAACTTGTTGATTTTTGGCAACAACACAAGTGTTTATACAATGTGTCCTGGAAAACAACTCACAATCGAACACGTTTGTTTACTCTTACCTCTTATAATTAAGAATTTTGAGACTCTGGTTGTTGGTGAATTACGGTAATCTGTTAGTGTGTGGTATGCTGAGTTGGTCATCTCATTAGACAACACACACTTTAAGAACAAAACTGTTAAATCTGTCCTTAATTTTTGTCATTGGCAGGGTCTCACAGGTCAAATTTTCAAAATTGTATAAGATCCAAATGTCCCAAATATGGATTTTCAGGACAGTTTGTGTCATAATAGTATCAGATCACACACATTCCATCAAACACTTTGCTAGAAACCCTCACACAAAACAACGTCTGTTTAAAAGGCACTTATTCAATCAACATGTTCGTCACTCGGTGTTCGTCTTCTTTACCCTCAGGAAGGGACTCTGGATTCTCCTGATGGTGAACTTTTCAACTAAAGTCAAACCAGAACAGCCACAACTTATTTAAAGACTTGATAACTGACTTCATCTTTTTCACATTATGGTTCATGGTTGGAGTGTGTGAAAACTAGTTTTATAGAGAACAATGAAATAAATGGATAGTTACCCAATGTATTACACAACAGAAATAGTGACAACAGCTAGTTAGGCTGCAGGTTTTTCATTTTAATCTGAAGTAAATAAGGAGCACATGCCAACATCCCACTGCAAAGCATTGTTTGAGTAGCAGAAGTCGTGAAAACGACCTCAAAGGATGGGGTTAATGTTCACAAAAATTACAGATCGGGGTCAATTTTATGCAACTTCCATTCCTAAGCAGAAGCCGCACATGCGGAACAGAGTCAGAAAGACACAAATTCTTACGAGGAGGCCTCTGAAAGTAACTTCATAAACCTTGAGACTAATGAATAAATAATCGTGTCTTTTTAAATGTTGTTGTTGGCTAAGCACAGATTTATTTATTTTTTAAGTGAAATGGCTTTATTCTGAGATTTTTTCAAACAAGAAAAATGTATTTCATTCCACTTTTTTTAATTGAAAACTTACATTGATAACCTTGTGCTACCTTCAGGATACCATCATTATCAGGACTCACTGGCAGCATTACCAAAATATATATCACTTTATGTTTATCTGATTGGTCAATTAGAAAAAAAATCACATGATCAATACTTTGCCATATTGCTCAGCACTTGTTAAGTGCCTGGCTTTTTGTTTGTACGTACTTCTTTAGGTCTATAGGCTTATACAGTTGGACCCCTTAAATCGTGAGCTGGAACACTTTCAAACATAGAAACTTAAATGTCATAGTGATGATTTCAGAGAGGGACCCACTTGACTCTGTATCACCCTTTCAGTAAAGTAACCCAACAGAGCATTGCTTGTTCTCAGGACTGAACTTTGAAATGGGGAAAATAGTGAAGTTAAACAGAAAAGCTAATGTGGAGCAACAAGAATGATAGACAAAAAGTGAGGGATGTGTAGGCGAGGACTCACCTCACAGAGAGGGTAAAATCCCCCGGGTTGCTCTTGCTTGGTCGGGCCAGGAAACTGCCGTGGACGCCCCGCGTCAACAGGAGCTGCTCTGCCTCGATTCCGGTGATGTTGGGGTGGAACCACCTAATCACAAAGGGGACACAAGATTGGCTATTAAACACCAATGTGATTTGTGAATTGATGTGTTGATGTTAAAACTACCCAGTCTATGTCCTATCACCCACCAGCTTCCTTTGCTAGGGAGACAAAAAAGGCCCTACTACAACAAGATGTCCTAAACTCAAGTCGTTTTGCAAATACCAAACATGACACTAATATATCACAAGCCTCAATTATGAATGTGAAAAGAAGTACAAGCATAATTTAAGTAACAGTATGTGTATATCTAGAAAAAGGAAGGAGAAAAAAGCACAGATAGGGGAAAAAAGGCTAACAGAATTACCAGTTCTTATAGGATTTATATCATATTGTGTCTGAGTTTGGCAAAAACAATTGTTGGAAAATTGTGGTTAAAATCTTTATTTTGCATAATGATTTGCTGGGGGACATTCTCACAGATGTCCTCTGTAATCATAACAAGTTTCTACATGTCCAAAAGTACTTGAAAAGGTTTTATCTGCCTTTCTAGAAGCAGTTTAATGAGATCAGATTCTAACCATGATCATCAACACCTCACAGCTTTTGCCAAAAATAGCATTATTTCAGACTCTGGCAAGCGATACTCACTAATCGATCAAGTTTTTCAGCTGTGCAAAGTTTTAGTTTGTGATTAAGACACAGCTGCCAATTTGTCAAAATGTAGGTCCCTGGATTAAATTGTATTTATTTAAGAGGTATCCTCGTCTATCTTTTGTTAAGTACAATCCATCATGTTTTGTGCAAAGTTCTTCATTTTCGTATATAAAAATGAAGATGAAAACGATGCTTGCATTATATCAGCCGACTAGTTTCAAATATCTGTTTTCTTCTTAATTTACTTGGCCTTATAAACACAGTAGAAAGCCCATTACTAAAAAAAATAGAGCTAAATTGAGCAATTTCTATAACTACAACTTATATCCCATCATATTCATCCTCTTATTCTTCAGAAAATGTTCCCAGAGTGAATACAAACTGTATGTCCTGTCCTGGTTTTAAAGAGAAGGACATCAAGGTTTACAGTACTGTCAAGCCAGAGCTAATGATTACATGTTACTTCCTCTGTTGCAAAACACTGCATGCAAATATTTATCCGATAAAATTCTCAGGTAGGTTGACCGACTATCAGGGTTGTGCACTCTTATCAGCGTGTTTGTCACGGCTACTTATCCAAACCAAATCACAATCATCATTAACACACAAAACCAGTACATCTGTCCTCACACTTGCATGCTTAGTGCTGAGAAAAAAAATGTGTTGAATAAGTAGAGTACTCTGCTAATCTCCAAGAAGCAGTGAGTAGGTTGGTTCCACTGCAGTGTTGAAGTGAATGGCTGAATGTCAGCTGCGTGGATTAAGAGCTCATGTTTAAGCAGGGATCATTGGGTTAAACCTCCCTAACTACTGTGTGCCACTGCTGGCTAATCCAATGCACCATTAGCTCCAGGGCCCCATGTGTGTGTCAAGGAATGGCGTTTGACTAAACTGACATAAAATGAAAATACAGTCAGTAGTGCGTTGCCTAGTCAGTGGTGACACAAAAGCATGGTTCAGGAGCAAGGGGTTCAGGAATATGGGGTTGTCTTATTTTGTTTGGGTGGCTGAAGAAACACTTTTACACAATGCTATTTGTACTATCTCTCGACACAGTGAAGCCTTATTATGAGTGGACAGGAACTGTCTGCTTGAACTTTGTGATTTTAAAGGGCCAGAGACGTATACCTGGCAAAATGTTTAAGTTATAAATCAAAGCTGCAAAATACCAATCTATCATTGCGGGTTATAAACCAGACAGAATAGAATCAGTGAATTATTACCTTGAGAAGAGTCCTGCACTCTCTAAGCTCTTTTCATTAGGATGATTCACTTTGTGAAACACATAATTAGACTCTAAGTTGTTATTCAATGTTTCCAACAGGCTGTATTCTTTGCCTATTTATTCATTTGTTAGTTCTGAGTAATGGAAATCAAAAGCCCCCGCATTACCCAAATAATAAAGATAACCTTTATGTGCAGCCATTGTCTAAAAGAAAAATTGAGTTATGTCAGTGATTCAACAAGAACGGAAAATCCGTCTTTTTGACATTGATATGTGGACTAAATGAGTCATTGAACTCTTGAATATCACGTCCTAAAGTGTAGCTTTTCAACGCCACCCCAGGATATTACAAAGGCTTATTTATTTATTAATATAACCCAGCAAGGAGCAGGCAGGGGGTAACACAAGAGTGCCTTCATGAAGCCCATGCTGAGAAGATACTATCTGAAATTTAACAGTGGTTTGAGTATTAAGGCGTTTCTGTTTTTGTATACTGGATGACACAAACTCATGACAGTGAGATAAAAATAAGACTCATGTGTCAGCTCAGCAGATCTTGTGTCACCTCAGAATGGCACATTTAAACCAGAATACTGTTGTGGCCAATCTTAACGTGCAGAATGTGACGAAATGCTTTCAATGCTTGATTTCTTTATAACTCATAAAACCTGCTGCATGTACAATATTTTGCTGAAGTTGCTCTGATTCATATTTATTTTTGCTGTATCCTGACACTACACATTGCACTTTAGTTTACAGCTTGCGCTTTTACCCCTAAAGAGAAATTCAGGTTACTTTATTTTAAGTTCAGTTTGCTTTCGTTACATTTTATTGATAAAATAAAATAAAAACTTGTTTTTTTAGTCTTTTCTTTGTCATTTGTAATTATTCTTTTTGAAGAAAAAGAAATCTATTAAAATCAGAAATGAAGTTTGCTGTAAAAAAACTAAGATTTTATTTATAGGCTGCATCCCCCAGCCCTAAAACATTTGAATTATAATCACTGTGAAACAAGGATATCATTTCTAATTCTTACTATTGACAGTTCAAGTTAATGTCAGTGTCTGGCCTTTTGACATTCAGGGGGATTCCAGTTTTAGATCCAGACCTCAATGCAAAAATACATTAATTAATAATGTATTAATAATAATAATGAATACACATTAATAATCCACCTAAATGATAAATAACACCTCCTGTGTTCGGCAAGGTAAAATTATTGTTTTTGTCAATGGCGTCAGGGTGATGCCTTTAAAGGGAGCAAAAAAATAGGGGCAAGGTTAAAAAGGAATGGAAATTCTCCATCAACTATTCAGATCAAATAAACTGAAAAAGAAATTTACTTGACTAAATTAAATTGGCTTAAATCGTTTGGGGGCGCAAAATGTAATTGTCTGATGTAGGTTCTTGGGAGATAAAAAACTAACAAAATGTTGGATTCAACTGATGAATTAAAGCAACACCCAGTGCCTGTCAAGCACAAAGCTGCTCATCCTGTTTGGATTATCACAGAGAGGAAACATGAGAAGAGTGGAAAGAGAGACAGATGAAACAAGAGACAGATACTGCAGGGGAATTATAAATAACACTAAATGTGTGATAAGGTTTGAACAGGGACGAATAATACATGATGAATATTGTAATAAGACCATTGCAGAGATACTACCCATTTTGGTCATGGATTATTTTCTGTTGTTGGAGGTTAACCACAGGACTAGTCCAGTATTAAATAAAATCTCCAAATCTGCTTGATCCAAATACAAATATCAGTCCAGCTTGCATGAATAGAGAGTCTTGACTGATTAATACAACCGTAAAGCAGAAAACCTGGACTGGAGCAGCTTGCTGTAGAGGTATCACTATAGAACAGCGCAGACATTTGACCCAGACTGCACCTGACCCTCTTATCCTCAGCGAGGGGGAGGGGGGCAAAACCAGTCTGCTGTGCTTTCTCTCATACCACAGGCAGAGGGAGCAGATTATAAGAGGAACTTGACAAATAACCGGTTACAAGGGGATTAGTCATTAAAACATGTCAGAGACATTGCCCTCCCGTGACATTAGAAATACATCTAAAGTCTGGCAGTGAGGTTGGAGGGTTGAGCTTGGCAGAGATTTGTAGGCAAACTAGGCATACAGGAAATTACTTGAAGGGCTGGAGGGAAAGTTTCAAGTATTATCCCAAAATCTCAAAGAGAACATTATCCCTAAAACATAAAAAAAAACAAAAAAAACACACAACTGACTCTTAAAGGCTATGGCTACAATTCAAGATTGTTTGCGGACAATGTGAAACAGAAAAATAGATGCAGTGTCAATGTGCTCGCTGAAATGAAATCTAATCTTCTGTTTGTGTGTGCCTGTGAGAGACCAATTTGCTGGGATAAGGAAACCCCTTCCACCAAGTAAATATTCGATCACTATGCGCTTACGTTGTGGGAAGATGACAACACTGGTGTCAGATTTAACACGTTACTTTTAAATGTAACTTTTACACTTTTACATACAGGTGAGAGGAGAGGCAGCAGTGTGAGGAAGCACCACCATCATTCAAATCAGTGGTGTTGGGACATTTGAGTTTTGGTGTTGAGTATAATGACAAGGAAAAGAAAACCGAAAACAAAGAAATTACTGTCTGCAAACTTTGTTTTACACGTGCCGCCTACTCAAATGGAAACTCTTACGGAGTCTGTGTCTGTAAAAAATAAATGTGTTGTTGAATTAACCGACATTAAGACTGAAGCCTTTCCTTTGTCAACATTTGAAGGTTGTAGCTATGGTTGTTTTTATTCTGTGTCAGTTTATACTGGACAATGCTGCTGCTGCATGCAGAGGGTCTTTGGCATAAATCAACAAAGAAGCCATGAGAAACTATTGATATTTTGTAAATCCCACCAAGTTAAGTTCACATCAGTAGATACTGAAATTTAATTTATTAAATGATGGATCAAATCAAAAACTTTATAAGCAGAGACTAATGACTGGACCAAAATCAATAACTGGAAGTTTTATGAGAGCAAGAAATGGGATGATACGATTTGAACAATAACTCTTAACTAAAGGCTTCGCTAAAGCTCATGTTAATTTATTTCTTTATTTGGATTTTGACCTGGATAATAATTTTTATGAAAATAAAATGTTCAATGGTTTCAGGCTGGCAACTAAC